CAATAGAAATTAGCTCGATGCATAATCTGCGCATAAAAATAAACGACAGGGTCCTAAACTTGATCGCAGTAAATGTATCGTCGTAAATGGTATGTCTTGGTCTACTTCGGACATTCCAAATGACATACTTAACCCCGAAATAAAATTATTTTAACAATACCCCAAATCTCTATTACAAGAGAACGAGAATATCACTGTCTTTAAAGCTTAAGAATAGGGTAAACTAAGGATTTGAAGGGCGAGCCAAACCATCACAGACCATTAAAGATTGTTCTTCAAAATGAGGAACAAGCCCTACTACTGCTAACCCCAAACGCTTCAGCCAGTGATTATTCACAACGCTGTGAAGTCTTTAAATTAATTTCGGGAGCTGCGTTCAGTGTTAGAATAATCACTGGGATTTTAACCTTCGCGAAATAGATTGAGTTTCCAAAATCTGTCCACCTAGATTCCAGCCCTTCCAAGATATTGTCAATTTTTCTTACTGGTCTCAACTGGCGCGCTCTCCAGCAAGAGATAATGACGGTTTAGATCTTATCTTCACCAGTGACATTGACCCTCGCAAACTTTTATTCATGCCGATAACCTCAAGTGAGTTTACTCATATTCTAAGGACACCGAAAATGTTTGCGTTGCTGCAATTAGTGTCAATTTACTACGCTTAAGCAGATGAAGTTCAACATGGCAGATGGAGTTTTCATCATCCAAGTGTAGTTACATGTCTATTCGTGCTGCCAAACTTCCTGATCCCATAATTTTTCAGATTAATCCACTCTCATAATGCTTCACCATAAAGGCCCTAGGTTTAACTTATACAAATAAACTGGTTTTATCACCTCATGTAGATAAAATCTACGCCGAACCTGAACAGATACGGGAGTTCGTATCGCATAATTTCTTCCTTTCAGAAACGAAGGTTAGACCTTTTTAGATGGTTGTTCCTTCTGTCCTCCAGTACTTCTGTACTTTCTTTGCTCTAATGAACGCTTGCGACCGTAATAAGATAGAAAGTGTTCAGAAGGTTTCCGCCCGGAAACTCTTCCCTCAAGTCGCATCCGGTACTTCTTTTAATCAGAGATGTCAGCTGGGGAACATTAAGTTTTTGTGGGTTAGAAGAATAGAAGCTGGCCTCTGTTTCCTCTTTTGCATTAACTCTAGCTCCAATGTTCCGCTCATTGACACTCTTGTTCCGAGAGAGGGGTATCATGCCACGCGCAACTCCTCCATGGTGATTCTACCGCCTCTTTGCACTACATCAAAGCGCTCCCTCTTCTTTGCTTCAAAATATGCCTTCCCTTTGGAGTAGTCTTTCGCCCGAAGTTAGGTCATCACCTAAGTTGTCGGTATTCAAATCAAAATTACGTAAACACCTAAGAGCGGAAAGTATAAAGGCAATTTTAACGGTCTCATTCCCGAACACTCAGTTTCTTGACTTTGAGAAGTGTCCTCCTAGGATTTAGTGATAGATCAAGTGGAAACCCTCACTTATATCAGTTCAACCCCTGTTTTAAATTGTTTACTAAGAAAAATGCTATCGCCCCTTCCCCATGGCGACGATTTTCGCGGTTCTTGATGTCATCTCCTCATTCCGACGTCATGCGGTCTGTCGACGCTCACGACGGAACCCTCAGTACTTTCCATCTACTAGCAGTTTGGTCATATCTCCCTTGCTCCCCCTTGACTGGGCTCGAATCGGACTGCGACTGATCGCGTCTGGGTTCCTCCCATCTCGCCACTTTGACGCGAATAGTCCCACCCGGTGCACGAATTCTGCTCCGACGATATACGTTTTAAATCCCTTATAGAATACGACATGCAGGTCAGCCCTGTCTGACCCTCATACTTCCCCTTTCATGAACGACATTTGTTTCCGCCCCGACGACATCCGTTTACAATCCGTTACATACTGCCATGCGCAGGCCGACCCTGCCCGCACCTTTATCATTTAATGAGCGATAGCCCACTCCTCCCTAAAGACAGGGTTCGTAATCCTGCTTGTACTACAATGGAGTTTTTCTTTCACCGCTCAGTCGATCAGTATGCATTGCATATCGTACGGATTCTGCCTACCTCGTCTGAAATCCATGTAAAATTTGTTTTTACTTGCTATGAAGGGCCCCTACTATTTCTCGCATGTTTGCACAATTTACAGTCCATATCAGTTTCAGCTAAAACCTTTTTATATGCGGACAATCTAAAACTTGCAATGTCAAACATTCACAGTGCAGTCGAAACCGATCTTAGAAAACGTAACTAATTGGGTAGTCAATGATAAATTCCATTCTCACCGGCAAAGGTCATCTCTTGATATCTGGCTCACAAAAACGTATCCCCCATAATGTTCGAGGATAATGAAATAAAGGGGTCCAATCTACGAAAAACTCAGGTTAAAGCTATACAAATATCCTTGACTTATCTCTCCACATTCAACAAATATTACCGATAGCCGCTCGTCTGTGAGGATCGATGTGTAAAAATTTCACATTAAATGCATTAAAATACAATTTTTCAAAATTTACGTTTTACTTCCCCCAGATTAGGCGTAAAAGCTGGTTTAATCGCTTAGAATATTTATATCTTAGATGCGTTTCACTTCAAAACCGAAACTGTTGGTTGTTTTCCTATCTTAGCTCCCGGTTCGACAAGCATACATCAAGCCTTCGACAGAGACCTAATAATTTATTATCCTCGCAAATTGTCACTCACGAAGCAAAGTCATAGGGCTGCGGCAATGGTAGGAGGAAAATCTCACTCACTGAGCGGAATGAAATTTTCCACAAAATTTCTCCACAAAACTTATGCTTGGTAACACGATTAGCATTATTTAGCGAAATCGTAGCAGTACCTAACCAGTAGTATAATCCATCCGCCTGCATAAGATATAACATTTTTAACCCACGATCGGTTGCATTGCCGCTGTTCTACTATATTTGCTACTTTTATCATCTTTCTGCTCACTCTTCTTTGTTTAATTTTGCTGTTGTTTCTTTTTTCGTGGAAACCATGACAAAGCTCTGCCATATGTGCTGCTCCTTGGATGCGCTTTTGAATACCGCGCGCTCCTTCTTTTCCATTACAGGCGATTCCCTTCGATCTCGTAGAATGGCCAAATAATGTGAGCTGTCAAGTCTCTTCCGGCTAAGGCCTCCTTTTCCATTTCTTATGTTCTATGTTTTAATCATTGCTATACGTCTTCGTTTCTTGCTTTTATTTTTCGTTTTTATGTTATGCTGTTTTTTGGGCAGACCGACTAAAACACGTACTAAATGACGGTTTTAGTGAAAATCGTTCTATAAACGCCATTTAACTACAGGTAGAGTAAGGGCAGCAAGATAACCGGACAGGAGACTTCTGGCTTGAATCCCTTGTATCGTAGGCGAGGTTCATGTGATTTCTTTGTGTGAAGTGGTTCAACAAGTAAGTGGAGCGTTTGGCAGTGTAGCGGTGAGGGTGACACTGTAGATGGGATTAAGCCATAAACAACAGTAAAGTCAACAACAACACAACAATAAGATGAACCACAGAAAGTGCAATCAACCTGGAACTAAAATCACAGTGAAACTAATGCAAATTCACGATATATTATCAAACTGTCAAATAATTACAGAGAGATTATAATTTGAACTTTAATCAAATTGTAACATTAAACGCATTGAAAGGAAAACGAAAATGTCACTAACACTGGGATAAACGCATCAAAACACCTGAGTAGAGCCGTAATGAAACGAGACTTTATTTACTTTCATTTAAAATAACACATCTTGCCATTATAAAGGAGTTGGATATAAATGATCAAAAACTGCATTAAGCATATACTGCCCAGTGAACTTGCCTTCACAACCCTGCAATATCTGCCATCAGTCTCTCTGCGTTTCATTTTGCCAGTTTAAAGAAGTGTAAATTTATTCATGCACGTCTTTGGAACTTGTACTTGATTAACATAGATATTTGACTCATGAAATGGTGTCTGTTTGCGAGTGATTGGCTATCTTTCGTAAATTTCGCACTGTATGTACGTATTTTCTTCCCGAGATTAAGGGTGCTAACGATTATTGTAGGCCGATTTTAGTTTCCGAAATTTTCACTTAGAACCCCAATCCAAGATTTATTCGTGAATTTCTGCTGACCACGGCTGCCACTTATTTCAAACAGACGAAGTGTATTGTAGTATGCAAGCCATTAAATGAGAGAATAGAAGAAGAAGATGCGAGCATTGGAACAAGAAGTTTATTGGCCTGACGTTTCGGATTCTCACTCGACCCCAGCATCAGAGACGGTTGCAGATAAAAGTAGTGGAGGCACAAACACTGCAGTATTTATAGGCTGTAGTTGCCGTGGGCCCACAAGCGAATTATAATTTACAACCCTCGTGATCACCGCAGGCAATGATGGCTCATCAGTCTGCGTCCGAGTCGTTCATTGCCGCAGTTTCATCATCCGTGCTGGATGTTGACGTGATGATGACTCGACAATTTGGCCCGCTGTAACCAGGATAGCTGAGCGCCCGCGCCCGCGCCCTCCCCACGTGACTGATTCCCCTGTTCAGGGAATGTCTCAGCACTGAATATGGTACCGGGATATCATTGCGCTTGCTGATGGATTGCGGGCCTGAGAACCGTGATTCGAGCAGCTCGCGGCTCACGCAGCTGTCAGCTCCTACGAAGACTTTAGCCTCTTGAAACTCAAAAATATGGCTGGGTTCCATGGAATGAGCTGCTACCCGGGAACTGGCGTCTTTCCCCCTCACCGCTGCTGCGTGCTCAGCCATGCGCGTCCGGAGTAATCTCCCAGTTTCTCCGACGTATTTGCTCTGTCCGCAAATGCACCAGATCCGGTAAACGACTCCAGACGTTTCCTGCCGTGGCAACGCGTATGTCGGCCTCATGACTTGGCGCCTGATGGTTGCTTCCGGACTGTGTGCAACCGCAACTCGAAGTGGAGTGAGAAGGCAGCTGATGGCTTCCGAGCCGTTCCGCACGTACGGAAGGGCCGGCCAAAATTTAGGGCCGGTTGGGTTTGGTTTCTGGTTTCATCTGCGTACGCATTGGTTGACAAAGTTGCGCGGGTAGATATTGCAATTCAGCAACCTTGTCTTCCGTTTCACTGCAGTGCGTCTCAACGCGCCGGTATAGCTCGCTTACGCAACTGCGTTTGTGACTGATCGGGTGGTTGCTGTTGAAGTTCAGTATTTGCGTCGTATTTGTCGCTTTAATGAATACTTTGGTTTTTAGGCCACCACAATCTTTGCGACAGACGAGGACATCCAGGAAGGCCAGCTGGTTGTTCTCTTTCTCCTCCCTCGTAAATTCTATGTCCGGGAAGACAGTTTTGAGACGTTCTTTGAATGTCATCACCTGATCCTGTTTGATGACGACGAAGGTATCTTCCCCATACCGAGCCCCAAATTTCGGTCTGGGGTGTCGGAAAACCAGCGACTCCAACCGTTGTAGGACCGCCTCTGCTATGAGGCCCGAAATCGGCGAACCCATTGGCGTGCCCTTCACCTGCTCGTAGATTGTTCCGTCGAACGTAAAGCACGTCTTGAGACAGAACTTCAGGAGCTGGATGATTTGGGCGTGTCCGAGGCGATTCTCCGTTTCGTCGTATTTCTCTCGTAGGAGTAGTTCGATGGTCTCGACTGCCAGGTCCTGCGGGATAGAAGTAAAAAGGGACGTGACATCAAAGGAAACCATGATATCGCTTGGCAGGAGATTTACTCCTTTAAGTTTCTCCAAGAATTGCGTTGACGAGCTGACTGTGGTGTTTGAATCGGAGGTCAGAAACTTGAGACGTTGAAACAGACACTTTGCCAGTCCGTAGGTTGGAGTGCCCTTTAGTGATACGATAGGCCGGAGAGGAGCGCCTTCTTTGTGCACTTTTGGGAGACCGTAGAATCGGGCTAGGGCCGCCCCTTGCGCTCTCGCCACGCGTCTGTCGATCGGTGATATTGCACCTGAGGTCTCCATTGCCAGCGGCCATTGTTGCCCATGAACTCGCAGCACCATGCCTTCTCTTGGTCAGTCCTCTGACGGCATTTGCGAAGTCTTGAGTGACAGTCCTGAAGGAGCACTCGGATCATTCGTCCGCCGTGCTGGAATGCTGCGCGTCTCGCCAGCTGTGTTAACCGGGGGTTTGTATGAAACACACATCGGCTACACATTATGATCGAGACACCCGTACAGAAACCGAATCTGCGCGTATGTAGACGACTCACGAAAGGCAAATGATTCCCACCATCGAGTCGATCGGAGCGCATCGGAAGCACTCCAAACTACGGACTGGAAAAGTGGCTGTTTCGCCGTCTGAAGTTAGATGAAAACGCAAAATGAATATTTCAAATACTACTTCGTTAATTAGAAAAAGCAGTTTTTGTAAGAGGAAGTGTCAAAAATGCGAAACACATGCTAGATGACGTGACTGATTCCCTTGCGCCGAATATGGTGCCGGGAGCGCAATGACCTCCCGGTACCATATTCAGTGCTGAGACATTCCCTGAATAGGGGAATCAGTCACGTGGGGAGGGCGCGGGCGCGGGCGCTCAACTATTCTGGTTACAACGGGCCAAATTTTCGGGTCATCATCACGTCAACATCCAACACGGATGATGAAATTGCGGCAATGAACGACCCGGACGCGGACTGACGAGCCCTCATCGCCTTAATTGCGACCCCTAGTGGTGATCACGAGGGCTGTTAATTATAGCTCGTATGTGGCCCCACGGCAACTACGGCCTATAAATAATGCAGTGTTTGTGCCTCCACTACCTTTGTCTGCAACCGTCTCTGATGACGGGTTCGAGTGAGAATCTGAAACATCAGACCAATACACTTCTTGTTCCAGCGATCGCATCTTCTTCTCCTGAACTGCTTCCTAGGACTCGCCTGTTGGCTTCTATCGGAAATGAGAGAACGTCAGTCATCGAACCTTAACGTGTATTCAGCATATTTTGTAGGGTAATATACAGCTCATTCTCCGACCTATTTTATTCACGGTTTTGTTGTAACCGCCCTGCTACCAAATGTTCCCATCTTAAATACTGGGCTAACCTGGAATGGTCAAGGTCATGACCTAGTCTGAAGGGTCGTTCGTCTTCCACATTCAGCACAACCTGGTAATCGTACTGCTAGACTATGTAATACTATGCGGAAGTACTGAACTCAATCATGCCCGATCTACAGTTCACGATGGAAGAGGAAGTCGAGGACAAACTTCCATTCTTGGATGTTCTCGTCTGCCGCCAACCAAATGGCGAACTAGCGACGTCGGTCTACAGAAAACCGACGAACACGCTGCAAACTCTCAGCTACAACAGCAACCACCCGCCACAACACAAACGAAGCTGTGTCCGCACGCTGTACCGACGGGTAGAAACTCATTGCAGCACGCCAGCCGCCAAACTGAATGAGATAAAGCTCCTCCGAGAACTTTTCAGAGCCAATGGCTATCCACGGGCATTCATTGAACGAAGCCGGAGGCAGCCAAAGAAACGGAACGAGGAGCACAGTCAGCCAAACTCGTGGCGGAGCATTCCGTACATTAAAGGGGTCTCCGAAGTCGTGGCTCGATCACTCGCGCCACTCGGAATAGGTGTTGCCCACAGGCCTGACGCAACAATCCGCCGGCAAGTGATGCGGCCGAAAGATCCGATCCCTAAGCAGGAGATGTCGGCCGTTGTCTACCGACTCCAATGCAGCTGCGGAAGTTGCGACTACGTTGGGGAAACCGGCCGACGGCTGCAAACGCGAACGCACGAGCATAAGTTGGCTGTGCGAAGGTTGGACCCAAAGTCGGAGGTAGCAACCCATGCCGCGCAAATGGGACACATCTTCAACTTTGACGCCGTTGAGATTGTGGGCCGGGGCGGCGATCACACAGCAAGGCAAGTGCAAGAAGCCTGGATGTCCACCGACCGCTCTGTCAACCGCCACATCAATTTGCCTCCCCCTTATCTGACTTTACGAACCTTCTTAGCGGGGGACAGTCACGGCGCGGGACAATCGGGGCCGTCAGTCATCACCGCGGCCGACGGGGGCGATTTGGGTCGCGGTGACATGCGGGTTGGATGCAGCCACACAGGCGGCATTGGCGGATCACGCATTGGACAAAGGGCGCCATAATAAGGAGTGCTGTGCACAGGACCTCTCAGTCCCTGAAGATGGGTAGACGAGTAAACTACCCGAAACGTCGGATCTCAAATAAACCCCTCCCGGTGAACGCCCACTCTTCTTTTGATATTTACGGAGTACTTGAATGCACTGGACCATATAACGAAGTCCTAACCGTTAGTTCCATCCACAGCCGTCGATGTCTTGCAATTGTGAACACAGCATCTATATCGAAGAAACGGGAAGACTAGGTAACTCATGGGAGATGGCACCCAAAATCCCAGTTACCTAGAAATACCTACTCTATCTATTTGAGTAGGTTATAACCCTACATATTTGTTGTTTCATCCTTATATGGCTGGCGAGTGACAGTAGTAGCTTTCGTCTAACCTGTAGTCTACATGTTGCTTCACATGAGATGCGACCGCATAACACCTAGCCGCAGTTAATGAACCTTTAGCAAGGCTTACATGGCTGGCGAATGACAGTAGTAGCTTTCATCTCACCTGCAGTCTACATGTTGCTTCACATGAGATGCGACCGCTGGAAACCTAGCCACAGTTATTCAACCTTAGCAAGGTTTACATAGCTGGCGAGTGACAGTAGTTGCGGTCAAATCTAATCTTGCATAGCTTAGGAGAGTTGAGAAACGATCGCTACAGACCACCGACTGCTATGCCATCCTTTGCATATGCTTCTGTCGGCCATGAGTGACGACATTAGTCGCTTTGAGGCTTATTATGCGACAGCCGACCTTACGACACTTGGGGATGGATGGCGTTAGACCTATCCTATGTTTGCCAAACTTGATATTTGCTTCCACAGTAAAAGACCCAGCGCAGTAGTCGGTATGCGGAATAATTTACGGTAGCATTCGTTTGGACACTTTCCGTAAGTGGCTGTGGACCGACCATTTGACTTATCGATTATGACCAAAACTTCCGTATGTAGACCAATCGTACGCTTACTAACCACCACATCAGCTTCCATAGTTGACAAGCGACCGCATGCGGTCCCTATTTGACTTATTCTATAGTATCTCCCCTTAGGAGAGTTCCAACATATTCATCTTAGACAAAACAGTTCGTTTATCACCTTCGACCATTACTTCCTGACGTGAGGGGATAGCTCAGTCGCCAGCGTTTGGGTTAATCTATTGGCAGCTTACCTTAGGATAGTTACGTTAAGATCACTGTGAATCCACCGTAGGTTCATCAGCTTTAATATTAGTTTCTACAAATAAAGGGCAACCGCATACCTCGGCATGTGGCTTCGTGTTTTCTAGCATACCTATCGGGTAGTAGGGAGGCTAAGGATAAATACCGCGCGATAGTTCAGCATCCATGGACTAGACTCACACGGCCGACGAGTGACGGCAGCAGTCCGCATTCAGCTTATCCTACGGTAGTTTACCTAACGACGGTGCCTAACCGACAGCAGCATACCGTGTCCAGATTTACCAATCTTCAGCAACGACTCTTGAGGTTACCCGCGACAGCAGTACTCCGGATGTAGTTTAATCAATGGCGGCATACTGGCTTAACGATCACTGTAGACCACCGCCGCTATTATCAACAATGAGATAGGTTTCCATTGCCGATTAACGACAGTTGGGATAAGATCGCACCGCATCAAGTGTACACCACGCGATATGCTTCCACGGCTGAAGTGCGACCGCGGAAGTCGATATCTGCCTTCGTACATACTAGAATTCCTTTGGCGCAGTCAGAGAGCACAAATTGCAGACTACACGATTGCTTGACATCCATCCAGGAGGCTGTTACGGTCGACGAGTGCCACCTTCAGACCTTATTCGGCTTATCCAGCAATAACATACGACTAACTGTGCATACCTTAGGATTGAAGTGGTACAATCGCCATAGACCGACGACACTTTTGATAAGATTGCCATGAGCATCCCCGTTTGAGGGATCGACCTATACGACTTAATGACACGCGTGCCTGAGCTTAGCAGGTTTCACTGAAAACTGCTGTCAGCCTTCGACAGAGACTGCCTAAATTCACAGCTTTCAACAGTGGCCTCAATCGTTAACGGCATACTTGCACGGACTACTTGGACTTTCAACAACCGCCTACCATGGGCTGGCCCTACGAACGCCGGCGCAGGTTACATGGACGATTTATCGCATGACCTTGTGTGACTTGAGTCGCAAATATTTGAAGGTACTATTTCTTTTTCATTGTCGGGAAACTGTCATTTCACCTAAGAGTTGAACCTCCCATTCTAAGTTAATAATAGCCTGTTACACCCTCCATAATGCGTAGGATTTGCGGTATCATAAAGAATTTATTCAAATAATTTTTTGCTTCCGTCAGAGAGTGCTCCATGACATGAAAATGAGGTCGTCAGAATAGGGTTCGTCGAGTGTTATTTTGATGTTTTTCTTCACTTTCCGACCAAACTATGAACCACCGTTAACAGGGGATTTTCTGGATGGAAATCGTCTGTTTTCACCTCGGTGAAGGCTAGTCTGTAATTCGAATATTTCAAACGTCTACTCAACCGCTCCTCGACACTGCAAGTACACAGACCCCGACCTTTCACGCGATGCCTTGACAGTTTGCCTCTAGGACTCGCGGCAGAATAGGTGAAACCCTCTTTAGGTCCTTTACAGGTCTTGTGTATTCTATGCTCATTTAGCAAGGATGATTCTATTTCGGCGAACCGTTTGCTTGCAGAGTTTTACAAAAGCATTACTCTGGTATCTGCGCAGGGCATATCCATCTAGCCCAACCAGTGGGGTTATTGAACATGTTATTATGTTAGATGGCGCTCACCGATCAGGTTACGGAACATGCTTGTCCCGTTGTGCCTTGGGGCCAAACTAGAACCCTCGCAGGCAGTCGCATAGAGAACAGCGATGTGTGTAGATGAGGTGAAACTGGCAAAGGCAAGGGGAACCGAAATGACCATTTATGACTTACTAGCCGTCCTCAGCCAGTCATAACCAATCCCAAGTGTGAACCACCTGGGATTCGAACCTGGGATCTTTGGTCATTGAGTCGAACTCTCTACCAATGTCGACGGAACGGTGGAGCCATCGATGAAAAGTGTCAGTGAAATCGTTTAAACGGCATCAGAGTGTTGATTGTTATGCAGAAATCCGTTATATCCGGGGATTCTCTCGGACCGATTCTGTTTCCAAATCCTCCAGAGACTAGAAGCCCAGTTGTCCTAAAAACAGATGAACGGTTACTAAACCGTCAAAACTGGCTTTGTAGTTCTTTTAAGAAATAACCAGACCGGTTAAATTTTGCCACTACTACCTAACAACAGATTTGTAATCATCTGCCCACCAAAAGTACATTTCTTAGTATTGCATAGCGAAATGAATAGAGTTGTCCGAATCCTTCCATTAGATAGAGTGTATGTATTTGAGAGAAAGTTCGTTCGTCGGTTTTATAAAACCGCTTTTCACCAACTTACTATTTTGAAAATGACGATTAATAATGTTTCCGGTTCGCCGGTGCCATATCTGATTACAAAAAATGCGTTGCCGGTTTCTTGGTAATATAAAACGGTGTCATATTTGGCATTTTCAATTTTGGACCATACTTTAATTTTATATATGATAGTTAACCAGAAAGTGGCAGTTTTTAGGCCACCTTAACGGGACTAGTTTTGTCTTCTAGTCCAGTCTTAATTTTAATTATCTTTACTTCCAACAGATTTAAGTAATTTATTTAAGGACGAACAAAGGAATGGGTAAAACAGTCATTTAGACGGTTTTCGCGTCGTTGCCGAAAGGAGAATATTGTTTACATTAGCAAATTCTTGTTTAATAGCAGGAACACCTCCTAACCGATTGGTTGTTGAGTGCTACGCCATTTGATGATAAAGAAAATCCTGCTTGAGTTTACATGCTCTCTTAGGTCCATTTATCTCTCTGGAAAAAGTAAAATAAACTTGTTATTTCAAACCGATATTCCTTTGAATTCTTCAACAACCCTCGCAAATTACCAGACACATTGTTTTCAAAAGATTTTTGAACGAAACTATATAGTAATATATCTCACGACTTTTGATAGGGCTGTTCTGTAGTTTGGCCACTTTTATAGTCTTCATCCGTTGATCGTCCAACTTCCTTCTAAATTATTCCCAATAAGGCCGGTTTATTGCCGTAGTAGCAATGAAGCTGCCAAAATGCGCAACACCCGCCTTTCCTTCCAGCAGCCTCTTTTTGCTGAGTGCTAGTAGTGGTTGCGCCGTGCGTACGAAAATTCCAGTAGAATGAAAGTTGTTTTCCGGAAGTGAACCAAATAAAATTGTGGCTTGTCTATTAAAAATCCGGAAACAAGCGATGTGGAGAGGAGTGGGGGAAGGTGGAAGGCACAGAAACCTGACGATGCGGATATAAGTCAGACAGAATTTTAAACGTTCCTTCCTGCAGACTCTGTATCAAATGACTCTGTTTTGATAAGGTTTGAGGTAAGCAAACAGGATTTTCCTTTGCTACAAACTTTCTAACGAAATCTCACAGCTCTGACCATAAATAATGACTCTAGCTTCATAGTTGCTTGCTTTTTACGTCTTTATACAATGCTTATGATATTTCAGATCTCAAAACAAGTTCCATTAAACAGTTTAAAAGACTGCAACAATTCATATGTTAGAGCATGTAAAACAGTCAGCCTCACCGTTGTGACTAACAATGTTCCTCATGTGCTGCACAGCATGATGAGGGCAGCCACGGCGACTTGCGCTTGAATTTCTTTATAATGATAGTAGACCTGCACAGCATCTATCGCCCTCTCTCCCCTTCCCTCGCCTGGACCCAGTGTCAAGACACAGTCCGGAAGACCGGAGACGAGAAAGAGCGCCGGTGGCAGGCACGGTGTAAACTGGTACACCGGCGCACCACCACACCCCCTGGCCCACAACAAACACTTGACCAGGATTTTAACCAACAACAACAACAACAACAACAACAACAACAAAAACAACAACAACAACAACAATTGGAGGTAGCACGGATCCCAATAGGCGCGGAGTGAACTGGCAACTAAGCGCGCCACCACACCCATAATGTGGGCTTTTGTTATGAGTGCGCCTTCTCGATAACAACTGCCGGACTCCAATCTAGCTCCGTTGTTGGTTCAGCGCATCTAGGCGTGGCCCGTTTTAGGTGAGCAACTTACGGACAACTTACACATACAAAAACACTGTATTCCCAGGTGGAATCAGGGTGTCACCCTTCGAACACCAAGCAGGGTACTCTGCCGACTGAGTTATGACAGAACGCTTGCCCACAGCGCGAACTAATCCATACTCCTTTGTCTCTCAATTGCGGGCCTCGTGCATTCTTGAGTCTGAGTAAATCAAATCTACTTCACACCTATAATCGTACCAGACACATCTGACACAGACTATAATCGTAATAAGTAGAACAACTCTTACGACGGATTATGGGTAATCAGGAACTTTTGTGACCGCCAGATGTAGATGATAGATCATAAATGCCATAACTATATTTCGCCCCATAGAAGGCCAGAAGCCCGAGGATGACAATAAGAGATTTATTTTGTGCAAGATGGACAGATCGCAGTCCGTGAAGAGTGTGTGGTAGCTGAGCCGAAGCGTCTATGTAGGTGGCACCTATGGACAAGCTGACGACACTCCACACACTGACAGTGGAGATCCAATGCCAAATCTGATGCAAAAGCGGGTGTTTGAATGATCACAGGCCAGCACTGTTTGCTGCGGGATAAAATAACATCCTCACTGCGTTTGGCGCCCAGAGCCCCCTGTCATTCGCCTGTCCAGGAGAGGTGTTACGAGCTGGATGGCGTCATCTCGCCTGCAAGCTTTACTAAACGTGGCGAATTAGGCTGCTCTTGGGTGCAAACTTGATGCCGAAGCATGCGCACACCCGCATAGGCATTTGAGCTCGACTGCCAGATACCTGTTGCCTGCCATGGCCTGCTCAACCTGTAAATTATGCATTTCCTGCATTGCCATCCTCTGGCCTGTGGTGTTTTATGAGATTTCTAACTGCAAACGCTTATAATTTGTCGTCGGCCCTCGGCTCCTATAAATTGTTACAGCCCGAAAACGTGTTCCCTCATGCGGGACGCAGGTGACATGCCTGCTAAGTGTACGAGTTAATCATAAAATGCACTGACACTACGGGTTGTAAATGAGAGGATGTCGATTAGTCGCACGGTTGAAAGGCACATTTTCCATAGCTCGGTCGGCCAAATGGTTGGGAACGAAGTCGAAAAGTTGTCCGTCCACTTCCGCTTGGGGCACATGCTTCTAGCACTGCAGGTTTCATTTTCACTATAGGCGTCCAACTTGTTCGAATTCCGGATTATATGCACTGCGTTTCACATAATTTGACAAGTGGCCTTTTAATGAACCCGTAACAGTTGAAATGTTGAGGACCAGCCGTCACTGCTTTCGTTCTCTGGGGTATTTGTACCACCCACAAGACTCCTGTGCGTTTTTCCTCGCCAAACTTGCCACTTTGTAATACCGGTAAACCAACCAGGTCAACGACCGATCGCACGTCACAAAACTGCAAATACTTTGGCCGTTTATATTTTCGAATAGCTGTACGATAAAAATTACTGTAATATCGTTTCTTACGGTGAACTCAATACAAACTACATAAACTCTGAAGATAATGGCTAAGGAGGGTTTGTTCTGAGCCACCTTAGAATCATTATGAACAGTAGAATGTGAGAGGCATATTCCTGACAGAATTCGAACCGACAGAATATCAACCAAGCGGTTTAAAAAATCAGTTCAGCGAAGTAGCAGGTAAAACCCCTATTTAAAAATATCCCCCGCTTAGTATAAAGACGTTTGGGAATGCCATTAGAGTGCAATGCCCTGAGGACTAGGAATAAAGCTCTAAAACCCATTTAGAAGTATCTTAAAGGGAAATTAGGATAGTTTTTGCAAGGAAAACGTTTCAGTTTTCAAGTAAATGTGGTTTAGTCTTTTTGAAATTTTCGGAATTTTTACATGGGAATAGAAATAAACTGAACCTACACAAATGTGGCAGCAAACCCAGTCGACAGTTGTCTAACTGAGATTTGATTTAAAACAAAGACGCTGGAAAGCAAAGTGATTCCAGGACAGATAATGGTTGGAACAGTGTTTTCCCTCTCCACTTTCTAGGTTGTCGTACGATTCCTCTGGGACTTTAAACGAAGCATGCCTTCGTGTTTTGTCTACTGTGAACCTATTGTTTACTGTGCCTATTCAGGAAATTCGTTTCCGGATGGCTCTTCTGAAAAGGTTTTTTTCACTGAACAGAATCGTTAATTTAGTTTAGCCAAAAGTCAGCCAATCCGAGGTCTGAAACTCTTTACAGCTTACGTACAGAACCTACCAATCAGGAATCTTGAATTTTAAGTCTAAAACGGTGTGGACTTCTATCCGTACTTTTCTATTAGGCGCATTTTGTATAATGAACTCGGAAACCATAGTAACCTGATGTGTTTTGCAACCACTATTCTGATCACCATTTGTCACGAAAATTGAGTTACACAGCTGCTGGTTAGCTCGCCACCGAGATCGGCGAGCTGCAAGAAGTGGCACACCAGAGATAGAAATTATTCTTTTTACACAGTGGAGGAATTTAAAGTCACGCTGAAGAGCGACTGCGACTCCGAATCCCCCGCAACGGATGGCGAAGCTTGTTTGGTGACCAACAAAGGGGGACGGATTCGCTCGCAGTCGTGTGGCCGCTCGGGAAGCATACAAAGGCAGTGTAGTGATTCCGATGAAGGGAAAATCGAACCGCTCGAGACAGTTCGGTCATATGATGTGGCTTCGGGACAAAAGATCCCTAACTGTCCAACAGAGCCTGACGGAGAAAAAGGTGAGTGGGATATCTCAGATGCTAATTTGGAGGGTATAAATTACTGATAAGGAGAAAAATATTAAGTCAGGTTCGTGTTGGGCAAGTGAATCGTAGTTGAGTAGTTATGAATGTCATGAATATTGTGTCCTAATGCCAGTATCGAATGAAACACTCTAAGCCAAAATCGAACAGGCCAACTTTTAAGTACAACATGCGTAAACCGGTGGACGTGATTTTCCGAAGCAGAGTTTTAATTTTTTTAGGCATGGCTTCCTTATATGGCCCCTTTAATTTGAACACGAGGATAAAAACGTCCCGCTCAAGTAATAAAGGTGTATCTGCGAGTAATTTCGGGAAGGACACAATATTTCCGTGGCCTAACCCAAACAATAACCCTACCATGGAATTAAACTGTTGCTCTGATCTTGACCCTAAACCTACGTTAAACCTTAACTTTGCAGTTAAAACTAGCCTCTACCTTAATCCATAGCTTGGTCCTGATTTATCTTGCCGTTAACTATGGATCTAGCCTTAAACGTAATCCTTGAATGGAATTCGGCTCAAAGACACCTGTATTACAGGCAGTTCCTGTTCTCATGTCCTGTTTAGAAGGCCATATAAGCCAGTCCTACCATATTTTAGTTCCAGTAAAAGGTATCTGTTTAATTACAGCAGATGTCAACCAATCTCCTCGCATTTGAGGCATACAACAGTAGAAACGTCGACAGTGCAACGTATAGACTTTATTAAGTAGTTTGCGTATCTCATAAAATGTTAGCCGAAATCCAAAAATGTATTTTCAGCTATAAAGAACTACCTAGATGAAAGTGCGGCATGATCTAAAAATTTTCCAGCTACGACAGAAAGCCAACTTTTGAATGTGCTACTTTTCGGTAACCGGCAAAAATCTCATTCGGTAAAAATGGCCATTTGAATAGTATGCATTTGTATACTGATTTTTGGTGCACTTATAAAAGATTACATACTCTTTAAGTCTTATACTGAAACGAATGTTTTCAGTCTTAAGAAAATTTGCAATTATGTGATTTTTTAAAAATCGTACAATACCCATTCCTAAAGTGACGTATTCCGCCGGCTAATCAATGCTTCTCTTGAAGTATACAACATGGTCCACATACATTGTAAAAGATTATGATTCCCATATCTTTTAAATCATACGAGGAAATGTATGATTTTCTATGCATGGGAGGCATAGAGCACGTAGATTGGAAACTTTGAAAGCAATCGCGACGACTGTTTAGTGTCAGAAGTAACCGTTATTTAAAAAAGTTTTAAAAGTCGAACGCCACCCTTACTTCGAGCATATCAGTTAAAAAAAGACGTGATTCATTGCCTAACGAATACACAAAGGATATTTTCAGGCATACTTTCCATAAAAAATGTATTTAACTTGAATCATCAATTGGAAAATCATTGGAAATCAATCGGGAAAATTTACTTACTAAATGGTCAATTCTGCTAATCACGATTTTTATAGGCAGCCGAAAAGACGTGCGTTAAAAATTTGGTCTGCTGGTGTGACTGCAGCATGACTATCCATCTCACAACCCAATCCGGATAATATTTCTCAATTGAAGACAACATTCCAAATTTTTGGGAGAAGCGAAATCACTAGCATATCTATGCATTTTTGAAATAAGGAGTGTTTTGAGAAAGAAAAAGACTATATTATACCATCTTTAGAATTGACTCGAAGTTGTCACCTGATATATGAGAAACATGCATGACAGTTAAATTTCACGTTTACCTAGCGTGTCTGGTGTTTTTAGCAACATACGTTTGCTGCATGCCATAAGTTCGTTTGTACTGGCTGTCATCCTTGCGACCGCCTCTGGAATTCATATTCAACGTCAAAATCAACGTATTAATTAAGGTATGATTCATCAGAGCGCATGGTTCAAACCGCTCTCATTTTTCTGTCTCTTTAAACACCAACTATTTCAGTTTCGCCGGTGGTAAGAACGTGCCCAGTATGCAGTATACGAATGACTACCTGCGACAAGTTTTTTCGGCTCTTCTCCTTCAGTTGTTGGCGCTCGCGCACACATGAAAGCCTGATTCCTAATTAAGGCCAGTATGTCCCTCTTCACATGCACAAAGTGTTATTTTTCAATTTCTTATCAAAAGAGACAAACCAGCACTTGCGGTGAGGACATTGGGTATGTACCGTAGTTGCCGTCCTGTGAGCTACTTATAATCCGTGCATTCTTGGACGTTTGTCGGCGGAGTCAGACACATCTTTAATGCAAAGACGGGAAAACCGCGTTTTCTGTTTCCTCGTCGTCATCAGTCAGTCAAATCTCAACCACAGACAGAGAAGGCTTTAGTTTTAAATCTGCTCCTTGTTGTTTTTTACACAAGTACCACGACCTGCATTGATTTTTGCTTTCTATTAGTATTTCAAATCCTAATTCTGCAATGTAATGCATGAAAGTGCCAACCACTGAAAAGCAGCATGTTTACCGTCAGTTAAGAGTAGACGCATTGGCTTTCACTTTCGACACGGGGAAATCGTATGTCCGTAAACGGACCCATTCGACTTATTATTTCGGATCCATCTAATCTAAGTGTTCAAAAACTCCATATCCTCTTCAAAGGAAAGTCAATGAATTATTGGTCGGGAGAATAAATAATCTTTAGAACAGAGATTGTTGCGGTAAGATTTCGAGTTTAAAAAGATAAATACATTAACAGAGTGCACAAGTTTAAGCAACAAGATGATTCCGAAAGATATAAGCACAAGAAACAAAGGTAGCATAAAATTCAGAATTTACATCTCTTAGAGGCAGGGAACACTAGCTCAAGAAACCGAAAGGCCCATTAAACTACCTGTCATATTTTGCCTGTTCTGGTGTTTCAGAAGACAAAATACCAAAAACTCTGCCTATCACCAGGAGAAAGGCGCATTCGCTATTACCTACCCCCTCGCCGGCACTGCGTCGCAATTTGTCCCTTCAAGAACCTTTGTCAGACGAGTTTTGTGAAAGAATTCCATTGGCTGTTGACACCCGAAGGCGTTCGTTTAAACTCAGGAAATCCCAACAGTCATCGGCCCAGTCGGTGTCCTCACTAAGAAGCGCAACAGAAAACGCTGGTAAAATCAACAGATGCGATGCTTACTGGTTAAATGTTCCAAGATTTCAAAAATCTCATAACTAGGAACTTTTTAAAAGCGAAGGATATGGTTTCACCAAGTATAAAATTTGAAGATTTAATTTTCTACCAACTGAGAGCAAAAAATCGTTGTACATGTTTTCTTTAACATGGTAAATTGCATAAAGGCACCGAAAATCGATAAAATATATATACCAATTAAGTAGTTATTTTCTTAGACCACAATATTACAAGTGGCTGAAAAGAGGCTCATAGAAAAGCTGGCATCCTGGCCGACTGAATCATCTTGTGATTATGCTGTGCGACAGTTAATCTAACGACCCTACTTGAGTAATCTTTTCTAATCGGAGACACATTTCAGAATTTCGTTCAACGTTTCAGGAAATCGTTATTCTACAGTATATGTAAATATGCATATATATGCAGATAAATTGGTGCTGACAAAGACAAGGGAGACTGAAATGGCCATTTCTGCCTTATTAGCTGTCATCTACCTGTACGGCTAGTCGCTGTGCGACGGCCTGTTACCCGATCGGTAAGCGTCTATCTAACACAGTGGGCATCCCGATAAGCATAATTCGAAAGAAGTAAATAATTTTGGGAAGTCTGAGAATGACTTGGGGAACAAAAGTCGAAAATTTACGAAACATATTTTTTTATCTTTCTCGAAGGAGCTATTTCTTTCGAACATATATATATATATATTTGAAGATTCAAAGTCCAGATAAGTGATCATGTTTCTCATCTGCAAAAGAAGATAAAGGAGCGATTTTATGAACTATACTATGTTTTTGCTGACGTTCATAAATGTATATATGAAAAAGAGAATGCTCTTCTGGAAATCGAGTTGTACGTGGCCGAATAGGACTTAGAAGCTGTTAGCGCGTGGGAAAAAAATCAGTGAGCGTATACGTATCAGTAAGCGCACGCGCTCACTGACTTGGTCCCACGCCCTAAAAACTACTAATCCCTATTCGGCCACGTATAACTTCACTGCCTCGTTAGCCCCTCCCTCCGACATGACAAGCCACAACCGAAACTCCTAACATCTCCGACCAGTCACCCGCGTTCCCACTGGTTCACATTTTCCCGCTTCTCCTTCCCAGCATAGGGAACCATAACGGCTCTCCCCTCGCTCCTCCCGCCCCAAAACTTACCTTAACTTAGTGTCCATCCACCTCACGCACCAGCTGTCTGTCCTGTCGCGCTGATTGATCTAGTCTTTCGCTCTCACCTTCTTCCCTGTTCATTTCGTCTGACGACGGGTTGGTACCCACTACATTAAGACTTCACGAGTACAACTCGATTCCTTAAAGAGGATTCTCGTTGTCACTATATCACCTCGGAATGCACACTACCTGACTAATACATATATAATGGTACAAAAGGAGAAGGCTCGTTGGAAAGTCGAGCTGTACTCCAGGATTTTTAAACTGATTACACCAACCCGTCGTTAGACGAAATGACTAGTGGGAAGAGAGATAGCCACATTAGAGGGCTAGGCAGGACATCGAGGTCACAACGACAGAACAGACGTCTATGTGAGGGTGTGAATAACCTGTTTAGATAGGTGCCGAAAATTATGGGAGGTGTTACGGGTTTCATTTATGGTTCACACTGTCGAAGAGGTACTGAATCTGTGGTAGTCTGCATGGCCGATTAGGGACGAGCAGCTGGTGCCTTAGGGCAGGCTCAAGTTAGTGAGCCGTGGACGCAAACCTTCGTAGTGAGTGTCCAGGTCGACATGGCGGCTGATGTTGTTATTGTTAGAGGGTCGTGCTTCGAGAAATTCTCACGCCTGTTTGGTGCTGGCACTGGCAGTCACTTTGGTCCCGTTTCATATGGAGCGGTCATCAAACCAAGGGGCATGCGCATACACGAGAGACAAGGGGTCTCGTCGGCGGATGGCCAACTTATGTTAGTTAATGCGGGTCCCAAGTCATCGGCCGGTATGCCCAACGTAAATGCAAGAGCAGTTTGCGCATGGGATGCCGTAAATGACACTTTTTGCTGTTCTTCCTTATGGGGTCTTTTACTCGGGATGATGCTGTGCTCAGGAATCTGCCGGTCTGCGGGCGATGTAGATGCCAAACTGATATAATTGTCTGGCGATCGCTTCGGAAATTTTTGGCATGTAGGCAGGGAGTAGAATTTCCGTGACACCCTGGCTCCATTAACGTGAACGCTTTGCGGTTGTCTCTGGCGTCTAATAGGAGTATTCACAAAGCTGACTGGGTAACCGCTGAGTCGGAAAAACCGACACAAGTAAGCCAGTTCTTTCTCGCTATTGCTGTAACAATAGGCCCTGTGGAAAATGGTCCAAACACAGCTTCTCTTATGGACCGCTGGGTGGTTACTCTGGTATTTAAAGGTGATCTCAGTGCCAGGCTTTTTCAGTGGGCGCTTGCTGCGAGGCCACCGTCACTGAGACTTTGCATGTTCACATCTAGGAACGAGAGGGTGTCTCCTCTTGCTTCTTCGCGAGCAAATTGTAGAACTGGGAGGGCGCCATTCAGGCTCTGGTGAAATCACTCAACTTTACTGGTTTTTACGATGACGAATATGTCATCTACGTATCTAAGCCACATTTTTGACTGAGAACTTTATACAACATCCTCTCCTAGTCGTTGTAAGACTAGTTCTGCCAGTAGTCCCGAAATTGTCGAACCTATTGGGATTCCTTTAACCTGTTGATAATACTTGTCATCGAATTGGCCAAAGTAACTGAGGCAGGGTCTAAGTATTTCTAAGACGTGTTGCCTTGGAATGTTAATGGAATTGGCTTGCAGGCGCCGGGTCACGCTCTCAATTGCAAGGCCGTGTGTTGTTGAAGAAAAATAAGGCGACCACACCGAACGATAGAATGCCCTCATCAGGACTTGGATATCTTCAATGAAGCCGTGAGAGTTTGTGACCCTGCATTGTTGTCCATCGGCGAGGTGCGTCAGGTGCCTGTATTACCATTTAACAAGGGGGAAAGTGGGTTATCCGATGAGTGGCACTATTATCCTCAATAATGCGTCTGGTTTGTGCACTTTTGGAAGGCCATATGCATGCGCGCTACGGGGACACTGAGAGTCATGAATCTGCAGCCACTGGGACTTGTCAGCTTTAGTCGAGTGAGTACATTCACCGTCTTCTTTGCAGCTGCGGCCTGCTTTTTCTTTCGGTCCTCAGTGAGCGTTTTACAGACTTCCCTGTCATAAGACTAGGTTTTCCTTTTGTACGTCATCAGTCTTGTCCGTAATAACGGTTGAGTCACCGTTGTCAGCAGGTACAACCACAATACTGTCATCAGTCTTCAGAGATCGTAACCTCAATTCTTCATCGATGGCTAAGTTTCAGTGACGTTTCCTTTGTCGAAGAAGACCAATGGACAATTGCATATTTCCATACGCATGTCTTCAGGGATAGCAGAAATCAGTTGGACGGATAAAAGACTTGCTAGGAAGTTTGTAGGTTCAGCATCAGTATGATTGGATTTAGGTCCCTTAGACAGTAGGCTTATTTCGGCGGGTTTTAGACTCCTTTTCGAAAAGTTAAGAATTCTTAAGGACAGGGCAAATACATATGCTTATGGGGAAAAATGGTGTCTCTTCGGAAGAATCGAAATAAAATCGTAAAAATTCAGCTTATCGGCACCAAAGCGTCACCAGAAGGAAGGAATAAAAGAGAGGTTGGGTTGGCGTACTGGAGCGTTTGGGAGCATAGAGGCTACATAAATTGAACTGAGACACATGCAATTGATGGATGAGATTTATAATAAAGGCCGCAGGACGGGTGTAAGGCCACGTCTTGCTGCGTTGAAAGGTAAGATGGTAGTTTCAGTAGGAATCCAGATAACTACTAGGGATCAGTTGTTGTTACTTTGAACAGTGAGGGTGACCGCTGAATCGTGTGTGCGGGTTCTCACAGTGAGTGTCCAGGTCGACGTGGCGCTGGATACCGCCTGTGTTGAAGTATTAAGTCTCGAGGGATTTTAACGTTTAGTTTTGTATTGATCATGGCCATCACCTAAATATCGTTCCAGTTCGAGCAGTGACCGTTTTACTCTGCGCACACAAAGATGAGTGACGGGGAGCAACCAGTTTGTGTCCAGTAATAGTATTCGCAAAGCGTCCGCCCACATGGCTGGCATACACATCAGTAGTTGGCGTGGGAAATATAATAGTCTGTTGCTATTTGGGCGAGTGATCGTTTATCAGAGATAGCAGTACACGGCGCTTCTGCACCGGACCTTTAGTTGAACAGCGGATGAGCACGAGAAGTAGCCTGGATACTTATTAATTTGGGTAAAACTGCTCGTAAAAAGCAGCAGTAGTGCTGTATTATTTCTATACTTTGGCCTTAACCAGTTCACTTAGCAGAGATTCTATGTGTGAGGTCATAGACTCGTTATTTTTCGAGTTCAGGAGATGCTAAATTCTTGCTCGACCATAAGAAAGGTGTGCAAAGTTCCAAGTATCACTTCCGTTTACCCGCATTTAGCCTCAGATTTTAAGAAAGATTAAAGGTACCTTTATCGTTGATTGTCCAGTCGGATATTTTCACGAGGTGAACCAGGGAATCTCAGCACATATGTAGACCCTTGTGAGGTAACCAGTGATGTGAAAGTACACACCATTTGTCGACTGGAGTTTATCCTAGACGTATCTGGATTTGATTCATTTACTTGGAATTAGCTCTTGTTTAAAAAGAAAAAGCATGGAGTTATTAAACACCTTTTTCAATTCGCGGCTGCACATGCTTCTTGAATACACAGAAGCCTTTTTTCTTAGAATAGTTTCTCTCACTCAATAAATGTGGCAGCATCCACCAGCCTTATTAAGTTGACCATCAGACAAAAATTAAATCAGGTAATCTTGAGCCCAGCGTTACCCTTAGTCCCCACATCGACAGTAGCCAGATCTTTTATCCGACCTCCTATTGAGACTAAGTTCCAAAAAGTTGAAGAGAGGTCCTTTTTACGCTCTCAACCGCGGCGCCCGAGCCTGCATTTCAACCTACAACGTTCGCCAGGTAATACAAATGGGTCCTGCTTTTAAATCTTTAAGAAACACGTGATTTCAAGTAGATGCAGGCAGAAGAAATCGCTTATTAAACTCCCGATCACTCTCTCACACGTTTCGTTGGGCTCTCTCCGGTTAACGGCCAGTGAGTCTAAATATTGTCTATCTGGACTGGGTCCACGATCTTAAACTTAAATTGCATAAAGTTGGTGCTATAATCTGGCCGAATCTAACGACCAACATATTCACTGATTAATGGCTGAAGTGCCTATTCTAGGATGTAAGAATGACTCTGAAAGACGTTAATTAATATACCCAGGATTTACACACCTAACGCCAGAGCTAAGCAAGTAAATATGTCTAGTGCTGATGACGAAAATGTGCCCCAAATTGTCATTTTTGCATCTGAGGCGCTGATGGCTGGTATATTTAGTAAACATTCCACTCAATTGTTAAAGGCAATGCTTTACGCGCTCCTAATTCAAGGTAGGGGCTTCTTCTACGACCGTTACAAAAGCGCCATGACTAAGAAACTGCTTCTTATCAAATCAGTGGTCAGACCACATAAGGTTTTATACCCACAACACGCAAATGGAGTCACCAAAAGATGCATAGCGATGCAAACATGAACGCTAGAATGATCCTTTCAGGTTTATTTTCTTTTTTAAATGTGTACAGTGAAAGCCCCTCTATGCTGCCATAATAGTTATTTGGCAGATACTGGCCGGCCGGAAATATGACGAACTATGCTGTTGTTTTCACGCCAAAAGCACTAAAGTAAAGGGCTGTAGGTAGGAGAACTAGCTTACTGTCACCTTTAATGGTCGAGTTCCAAATTAATGAGAGCTCATATAAAAGTTACCTAAAAGAGAGGTTTGTTCCATACAGAACCTTGATTTGTTGCCCCAGGTAACAGTGGCCGTTGGCGAAGCCGGGGTTAGTGTTGACGTTGCGCGATCATCCTCGAGTGAGAAAGTGAAAAAAGTGGTGGCAGTTGCTTTTGTAGGTTTGCTGGGAACAAGTTAAGTGTTGTCCAGCTAGTGTGTTGCATGGCATGTTTAGGCGGCACACTGGCAGCTGCCACTGTGGACTTGCGTGCGTCCCAGCTGAAGTCGGTCGAGTGACTGCAGGTTAGCGCGTCTGGAACCGCTTGATCCGAAGGTGAGTAACCTTGAAGCAGCGAAGCCTTGAACAAGGACGCCGGACGGCTGTTGGCAGCAATTATGGATCCAAATGTTCTTTGCCACTACATCGTCAGTAGGCGGGCATTCCAGAAAGACTTTTGATAAATTTGGAAGGATGGGTGCTTTTACGCTGTTGCCTATGTTTTGTTCCCTGTGCTATTATTTTCAAAGGACGCGTGTGCTATTTGGTTCAAGAAAAAGAACGCTCTCATAATGGTTGTCATTAGCAGTCAGTGCATACCTTACACCAATGCACCATGTTGTTTCCAAAGCACCAGAACATTAAATGGACGAGGATTCCGGAGTACTGCTGCTCTAGCTAAAAACACTCCATTTTGCTAATCGTATGTTCGCTTTATATTTTAGTGGTTCAGCTTCGGTGGCATCAGTCATTAAGCCAGTCTTTTTGACGAGGGGGTTTTAAAAGCTTTTGAATAGTATTCTCTAACAGGAAATCCTAATTAACTTAGGCGAAATCCCAGACAAATCTCCAAACAGGTAGATGCCTGAAGTACAAGTATTTTTATAAACCCTCGACCAATTTAACTTTTAATCCTCACGTTCACTGTGTTCACTGCAAGAAGATCAAGCGAAATTCTGTCAGGCATCGACCAACCATTGCTAGTTTAATGGAGACAATTTAGTGAACTGTCAGCCGCTGCGGAATAAATGAAATTATGACGCGGAGGGGGCAGCGGCTATCCGCTGTGGCTACTGGACTTCTGCCCAAATATTCATACATAAAATTCTCGGCCTGTGCCTATAGACATTAAAGAAACTGATCTACTCCAAGTTCGTAGCTAATTTCTGAGGAAATCAAAAAGCGACAATTTCTAAATTGGAGTATCTACAAGAAAACAGAGGGGAAGTGCTGGGGGACCCACTGACGAGCCGAACCCCTCGCAGCTACTCCATGAAGTGGCAGAATATCGGCGAAACACGCGTGTATGGGCTTTTGGCTAGTACCTGTGCTGTTAGTATGGTATCACCTTACCCTATAGTATCTCTATTAGTGTACAGTTAATTTTTGCGCATTTATTGTCAACATAAAAATGCAGACATTTCGAATCCTATTCGAATTAACATGCAACATAAATATGGACGATTGCTGCTGTCCAATGTGACTCAGTGCAGATAGTAGGTCGCGGAATTTTTTACATGACTGCCTGGAAGTAACCATGTTGCGAAGGACGCGTTTTGTCAGGGATTTTCAAACAGGGTTTCTATTAAAATCAAAAATAGTGACCCCCATCACTATCTCTCTTGATGGCCATTTCCATGGTCCGGCGACCCGTTGGTTAAAGGAATATTTTTTGAGGGTTAGCCGCGTGCGTTCACTTCTGGCCATATATGGATGACCACGAAGGTGAATTTGGAGCGCAAGTTCAAAGAGGTCCTCCGGTCTCAGCGAGAAATAGGGACAATCCGGAAAGTCCAGAGAAAGTTACACTTTAAGTGCCTGTAACACAAGGGAAATAAGTCAGACATATTTAACCTATCCTGTTACGATAACTCCTCAAGAGCATCAACCATATTCATTGCAATGCGCTGCACCTGTTCGAGGAGATCGATGCCTTTTCTCGTCTACGGGTTCCAGCATGGCATCCCGTAATCCAATTGGGGTCTAACGAAGACGCGGAAGACTACTCCAGAGAGTTCAGGAGGAAATATTTTAGACGCACGTCTCATCCAGTACAACAAGCTAGTTGCCTTCTGGATTGCCTAATAATTTGCGATCGTCTGCATGCCCAAATCTGTTGTGCGTTTCCAAATCCTTTGGTACAGTACTGCTAATAAAATGTTGGCATTTTCGAGATATTTTTCGGCCAACACTTAGACGTAAGACCACGCATTTGGATACATTTAACTTGAAAAGTCACCGGTTCGTCCAGGCATCCAACTAGTCGACACTTGACTGCGCCTTTTTTCATCAGCACAGTGGACTTTGGTATATATTCGCTTACCGTCGGCGAACATGACAGCCTCACAATTCAAGTCATTCACAGAGATCAGTGAGAGTAGTGTCCCTAAAGCAGAACATTGTGTGGACACCACCTTCAACCTTTGCCCACTCTGAGACTGAATTGCCAGCAACAGTTCTCTTTACTCTGGAGGACAGGTTTGCTGCTTATGAATGTCCAGACACTCACTGGATGCTTTTATTTTCAGGGTACCTTCCCGGTCTGGCAAGTCTTTCCTTTGGCAAACAGAAGTCAATTCTCTCAGAGATCAGCGGTTGCCGAACTGATGCCGCGTCAGCATTTCTACCAGACCAAGAGCCCCGTTCCCTTTTTTCTTCTGACTTGAACGACGGGGAAGAAGAACAAGTGGTGGAAGACACATGTCGCGAGGAAAATGCCGTCTTCGATTCTATTTCAAAAAATGCAGTGGATGTGTCACCCCCACAGCCGCCGGCCCCATCGTTTGTACCACGAATAGCCTTAGATCAGGAAGCGCCAGTCAGGCGTGTGAACAAGAATACTGAGTCGTCTCTTACCATGCCTCTACTTCCGGCAGATAGGGAAGGGCGACTCACCTACCAGGACTTGGAACAATACGCTACCCAGGAACAAAGCGAAAGCATAAAACTGCCGATAGGTAAGCATAATGAATTAATAGTTGTCTAATTAGGACTTTATACGGAAGATGTGTCTGGACAAAATACTCCTGGGATGGTGGTTAGGGGTTAGGGGCTAGGGCACCTTTTTCTCAACCACCCAAAGTGCAACCGCGCATTCGCAACAGCTTTTCTTTTGCATACAACTACTTGACCTCGTCGCCTGTACGCTCCCCGGCCCCACCTGTAAAAGCCCCCATTACCACCGGTTCCGTATTACAGGTGGCTGGGGTTTGTTTACTTCAGGTGGGGCTACATAAACACATCTGACCCTTTTTTCTAGTGGGATGACGTGAAGTGGCACAACTGATGTATTTGGCAGCCCTGGGCTTGTTGCTTCCCTATTGCTGTTGTAGCGGCAGAGGCTTGCCTTTTAAACCTAGTCTGTTTGCAGCCCCTTTGAAAATTCTGTCACGTAAAAATGAACGATTGTGATAGAATCTCAGTTATTTATGTGAGACCGAATAAACGAACTTCTATGCAATAAAAACGGAACGGACCTGCCTTTCCTGATATGTGGAAGAAAAAACGCTTAGAATAGACATTCACAGACAGATATCTGACAAGTCACGAACAAAAGACGGTGCAAAATTAATGATCATGCCAGCCCGGGCCTTGAGCACAATGTCGTAATATTGCTTCGCCTTTATATGGGAGGCCGCATAAGTTTTCATTACAAAAGTCACTTTTCAGGAAACCAAGAACCAGCCAAACGGACCCAAAATGAACCAAACTGTAGAATTACTTGACTAGATTACGAGTTTCAGATGGTTTGGTATCACATGCCGTGGGCTAGATTGGTGGATTTTCCTATTAAGAAACTAAGCCAACCCAGTTTCTTTTGAATGATTTTTAAACACCCCAAAGTGTGAAATGCGCAATTTAAACACGAACTCAAACCTCCTGCTATTTGTATTTCTTAAAGACAGGGTCGAAGATAAGAAAATCACACAGGAGGACGTTTGTATCCAGAGGACCACAAAACCAATGCTTCCACTGACTCTCCCACATACCGAAAACGCTAAAATTACTGGATACAAATCCACTGTCTTGAAAAAGCGAATCTCAACTACGTAAGTTATCAGCATTTTTGCGGGCCTCTGCTTCGGCTATTAACGACCCACGTAAGAGGGTTCAATGGAAACTTGGGTGTAGGCCAGATGGATAAGCCCTTCAGATGACTGTTTGGCAAGCAGGAGATGGCATCAGATAAATTAGCATCGGGACAATACATTTAAAAAAGCAAAACAGGGGCAAGTGAAATCAAGTACGAGAACTACGAGTAACTGGCGCCAAGCTGGACACTCGGAAGTTCTTCTTTTCAAACAGAGTGATCGAGGCCTGGAATGCTCTGCCTGCAGGTGTCGTCATGTCCACCTCCGTCGAGGCTTTTAAGCGCAACTTGGACCAGATTGCCACCAATCGTCACAATGCCACCTGACAGATTGTCTAGCATTTCGTTCGAACAGTTTATTAATGTTGTTATATTACTTCCTATATTTCAGTAACGTTTGTTTTTTTTAATATTGTCCCATGTCTGTTAAATGTGTGTTGGCATTCAATTCGTCTCTCTCCGAAACTGAGATAGCACCAACTATCCCTAGACAGACTACTGTACAGCACATTTAGTAACGTTAATGTTTTTAACTTTTGGAACAATTCGTTTATCTGTCTGGCTTACAAAACGTTGCCAATCTGAAGAAACTCTGTAGCCGTTTGATGTTTCAATTTTCAAATTTTTTTTTATTGTTCGCCTCCTTGTAACAAATAGGGAGTTCAACGGTTTAACACCTGTATTTCCCTCAAATAAACTGAACTGAAGTAATGTTCGTCTTTACGCATGAGGAAAATGGGAGGATATGAGAGGCAGTGAGTATAAGCCTGGCCAGGTGATGATGGATAGTGTGGATGGGCAGAGGGTATGAGAAGGGCCTGTCATGTGGCAGGGGATAAGGGCGCAGAATATTGCATACAGTTGGTAGGTTAACCGACCATCGATCGTAGTAAGTGAGCGACTTGCAAGAAGGTCTTTCGTTGACACAAGACTTACCCGAACTAAGTTGTTTTACGGACTTTCCCAGCAGTGAGAGTTCGGGTACCGTTCTCGACCAAATCCATTCTACACGGAGAGGGTAAGTATTTGATTCCAGTTCAGAACTTCTCTATGTCCATTTACTTCATTACGTGTTATTCTGAGGCAGATAATAGTGATCGTACGAGTCCGTATCTAACCAAAAGAATGTACAAACACCTGCCGACATGGCTAAGAAAAAGCGAAATTGGGGATGTGAGCAGCAACATTCTAGTACACGCTGCTGATTATGGCCATCTTGTGGACGGCAACAAAGCCTCTCATGTGACCTGCAAAGCCCCGCCAAGTTACCCTAAACCACTGGGACAGAATCTACTAGCAAAAGCGAAATCGGCCATGATCACGTTACGCAATCCAGTCTTGTGTGTACAGAAGGCCCTCTTACAAGCCCCTCACTTACTATAATCGATGGGCTGTTAGCCTACCGAATGCGTGCAGCATTTCGCGCCCTCATCCCCTGCCACTTGACAAGCTCTTCTCATAAGCTCTGCCCATCCACACCACCCGTCATCACCTAGCTAGATGGATACTCACTGCCTCTCATATCCTCCCATATTCCCTTGCATCCCGCGCCTGTGTAAAGGCAAACAATACTTGGTTTCTTCAATTACCCAGAAGATATTAATAGCTCTAATTTTAGTCTAATAAGGATTTATTGAATCCAATTGTCTACTCTTCAAATAGTACAATGATTTTTTTATAGGAGTTTTGCAACTTTGAAAAATTATTTGTTGACAGAAAACCCGCATAAAGCGTGTCAACCCCTTATGACTGTTCGATGACTTTTGAGGCTTAGCTCCTTTCATTCCAACGGATGCCATCAGGGAGAAATAAAAATCGCACTAGGGTCTTAGATAGCAGGTTCTACCTTCTTCGAAAATATGCATGATTTTGCCAGAGAATTAAGTCAAGGCATATTGGAGAACATGGGATCCTATTGACAGCCACTCTATTCAGCGGATTCACGGGATCTCTGCGTTCTGATTCTGGCAACTCCCTTTTCGGCCGGACATTTTCAGACACAAGCTTTTATTTGTGTTGGCATGTTTTCTTTTACTGGCACAGCTAGAAGAATATTTTCGGGCACGCACAGTCTGTCGAAGGACTGATGCGTCTGTAATTCGGTCGTTTGCTACGCCTTTTTGCTCTGACGCCATGGTCTTGCTGGTCACGCAGAGGATGGACATACTGGTTAAAGTCAGACCTTAGATGGATACTGGGTCAGACAGTAACCGTTTACCGCGAACGCACTGCCAACCGGAAGGTGATTTTTGAATGCTTTGCTTCCGATGACAGAATGAGAGGCGTACTCGTCTGGGATAATTTTAACGCTAGAGCTGATTAGACCAGTCCGATTAGAGAATCACGAACGCAGACAAATTAAAAACTTCAAGCTTTCCAGGTCTTCTGGAGTAATGAACAAGTGACTTTGGATTTTTTCTGGGTTTTGGAATCTGTATTTCGGTGCGAATTTCGTCTAAATCCACTCCTTTTGAGGCCTCAGACGGTAAACAGAGTGACAACCATTCCGATTAGCTGGCTATTAACGGATAGGATTAAGAATTAGATAATCAGCAAAACACGTCTGCGATCTTAATTCACGTACAGGGTTGTCGGACATGTACACAAGAACTAGGGTAGATGGGAACATTTATACATAGGTAAAACTTTCTTGAAAAAATGTTGTCAGCACTGGGCTTTTATTGAGATACCATCAGTAAAAAATTGTGGACGGTTTCTACTCATGAGTAGGATACCGAAACAACTAACATGTAAGTATTGGTTTAAAAAACGAAAACAGTGGCGGCAGTTAAGACCAGTGACACCTGTATATCGCTAAGTACAACGAAATGGTGGGTCGGATCTTATTTCACAGCCGCACCTGTAGTGGACAAGCCCCAGCCGCCTGTCATAAGGGACCGGTAATAATAGGGGGTCTAACACTAGCCACTAACCCCTAACCCTAACCCCTAACAGCTGCAGCTACGAAATAAGACCTTGTCGTGACCAGGAGGTGTGAGTGTGGGCAGTCTGAGCACTACAATAATCAGGGCAAATCCTAGTGTTGTAGGGAGAGAAACTAATGGCACCAGAATGAGGGGTGTATTGTGCACAGAACCTCTCAGGCGACAGTGGCCACTGGCGAAGCCAGGGCTGGTGTTGACTGCGTTTAGTCATGTCTGAGAGTCCCTCGGATAGTGGTGGCAGCCGCTTTTTTAGACTCGTGGGCCAAGCTCAAGTGGTGTCCAGTCCGTGTGTGGTGTCCCAGGTGTCCCGAGGGGTGGTGTCCCAGTGGCTTGTTTTGCTGGTTGCAGGGCGTGGCGCGTTCAAGTGACGCATGGGTAGCCGCGACACTGTGAGGACGCAACTGTGTTCGAGCTGAGGTCGGTCGAGTGGCTTCGGGTCAGCTAGTCTGGAACGGCTTGCTGCAAGGGGTGAATGACCTTGAGGCAGCGAGGTCTTGAGCAATGACGCCAGACCGGTTATGATGGCTGCCCGCCACAACCTTAATAAATAGTGCACAAAATACCTTAATGTATAAGGGTTCAACCGAGGTTTGTGAGGTAATAAAGACATAGGCGCCTCGTAATATGCCCCTATAGCGGTCTTAGAAGTGGTTTTTGTCAGGCTGATCCTTCCGATTTTATCATAAAAATACTCACATTTTATAGACCGCAAGTCGATTTTGGGGATTTTAATCCTATTTCTGGGAGTGAACTGGAGTCCAACGAGTCGGAATCACTTTACTCATTGGACTTGGAAAAAAATGATTTCGCAAGGAGTGTTCAGCAAAAAGCCAACTGTCTACGTGAAAAATTAATTCAGGAAAGGCGACGGTTTTCCGACAGAATGTTGGCGCCTCCTTCATCTTACGTATGTTGTTATACAACTATGTGGTTTGCCATTTTTTCAGTTTATTTATATTACAATATGACTCGGTGTTAACATATGGGGAAAGCCTCTTCCGACTATGTGCTGGCATTAATATCACAGTGATTATGTCAAAAATTCGACGAGACTATTCAGGATTTATCTAAATAGAGCTCTTGTTCCTTTCTTAAAGGGATATTTTTCAAGGCACGTTCTTTTCTCCATGTAACTCTTAGTTAGTAGTCGATCGTTGTTCTGAGTCGACTAATCTTATGTTTGAAAAAGGTAGTGGTGTAGAGATCAGCATAGAAGCCTTTCTTCGGAACTGATATATTGAATATATTTTTGAATAACTTGGCGATAGATTTCTGGGTTAAGCGAAGCGGAAAATATAGTTCTGATTTGCAGTTAAGCGAAAAAGAAAGTCTCTGTGATGACGAATTTAGTTTATCAGCTTACAATACATCAACATATTTCACCGAAATACTAACCCGAGTTAGTTTAGCCTGACAATCCAGAGTAGTATGGTGTGCCTAAGTAATTCGGTCAACGAATTTATAGTGTATGCGGTTTTTTATTTCGAGATGTAGGGACTTTTTAGGAAAGAGGCTTTATGGTGACACGCAATCCAAATTCCAGGGAGATATTGTTCACTTAAAAAATAAAACTCAAAATGTGGTCTTTCGCTCTGGTGTGATTTATTCTCTTCTTTCAAATGAATAACTGACTGGAACGTAATCACGCTGAGGTCGGCAAAGTTCGGAATTTAAGCAAAGAGAGACCCGGTCGTACCATAACCGATAAAGCGCTACGGAGCCCTTAGCCAAACCATCACATACTACCGATGAAACTTTGGTTGATGGCCTTCTCTTCCAAATATAACCCCACCAGGTGTCATCCTATTTGTCCTGTCTTCATCTTCTATATCATCAGTCAGTCAGTATATCAGTCAGTATATTTGGAGTAAACGACAGAAGCCATGAAAACTCCATTTAGAGGGTACAGGTATAAAGTAAAATAGTTAAATTGCAAAACTTTTGCTTGCAGTTTTAGTAGGGAGAATGCATAAATCTAATAATGTAACATAAAGATGAAAGGGGTATTATATTCGCAAAATAATTGCGAAAAACTTTGTTCACCGCATTCGGACTGTGAAAATTTCAATATGGGCTAAGTTTGATGCAAAACATAGGATCTGTTGAAATCATGTTAGTAGTATATTTATAGTCATTTCAATAATCCGTTAGATCAGGCTTCGGCAGTTTGGGTTGCCTTTCAGCAGGTGAGTATCCAGTTGTCTCTTGAACACGTTCACGGTAGGGGAATTAACAACAAACTCCGGCAAAGAGTTCCATTGACGAATGACCCTCTGTGAGAAAAAGGAGGAACGTTGATTTGTGTGGCACAGTTCCTTTTTAAGCTGGTAATCATGTCGTCTGAGATTGGACTTGGGTGCCATTTCAAAAAACGTTTCCCAGTCGACATCCAGATTAAGTCCTTTTATCAACTGGAACGTTGCTATGAGGTCGCCTCTGTCCTGCCTGTAGTGGAGGGGATAGAGGTTCAAGGCTGTCAGGCGCTGCTCGTACGTGAAGTTTTTGAGGCCATGAACAGCCTTTGTAGCACGCCGTTGTACACCTTCAAGGATATCTATATCCTTCCGAAGACACGGCCGCCAAGCCTGTACCGCATATTCCAGGTGCGGCCGCACAAATGTCCCGTATACTTTGCCAAAGACATCTTTATTCAAGTGAATAAACGTTCTGCGTATCGCGCTCATAACGGACATTGCCAGTGCAGCGACTTTAGAACACTGCGTGGTGACGTTTAGATCGTCTTTAATGAATACACCGAGATCTTTTTGCACATCTACGGTTTTAAGTGGTTGATTGTCCAGGAGATACTGTCGTGGGGGTGCATTTTTTCTTCGCCTCGCTGATACTACGTGCATTACTGCACATTTTTTGACGTTGAATTTCATGCACCATTTCTCGCTCCATGCGTGCAAATTCGTTACGTCCTCTTGTAGCATCCTGACGTCATCTTCATCTTTTATCGCTCTCCAAAGTTTAAGGTCGTCTGCAAAGAGCGCTATGTCTGATTTCACTTCCCGTACCAGGTCATTTACATAGATAATGAATAGGAGCGGCCCAAGAACTGACCCCTGTGGGACTCCACTCGTAACAGGTGCCCATTCTGAGCAGTAGCCGCCCGCAGTGACTTTTTGTTGCCGTCCGTTTAGGAAATCTTGAATCCAGTTCAGAAGATTTCCTCTTATCCCTACTTCTGATAACTTTTGAATGAGGCGCTTATGTGGGATGCAATCGAACGCCTTGCTGAAGTCAAAGTAAATGACATCAGCTGGATATCCTTTATCCATGGCCTTTGACCAATGTTCGAGTGACGAAAGCAGATTTGTGAGGCAGGACCTCTTTTCGCAGAAGCCATGTTGAACTGAGGCGATGTGACAGCGGAAAGTATCGAGTGATGTAATAGATTTTTTAACTAGCCTTTCCATCAGTTTGCAGCAAATGCATGTCAAACTAACCGGCCGGTAGTTGGTGGGACATAGCCGTGATCCTCCCTTGTGGATAGGTACGACGTTTGCCAACTTCCATGTGTCAGGTAGTTTGCCAGCTTCCAGCGATTTTTGGAAGATTATAGAAAGTGGCTCTGCTAATTCTTTAGCTAGCTGACGCAGGAGTACACCTGAGATCTCATCTGGTCCAGGTGATTTGGCAGGATCCAGCTTATTTAGCTCTGCTAAAACTAACTGCGGAGTAAAGAATACTGTGTTTATAAGTGGTTGGTTGGCGGGCAGTGGAAGAGAACAGGACTGGAGGGGTGGTTCCGTGGTGTAGACACTTTGGAAAAACTCGGAAAGAAGCTCGGCTTTTTGAAAGCCATCGCTTACAATTCGGTTATTTTTGTCCTTTAAGGTTGCCAGATGGTCCCGGTTTTTCGTATTGCTCCTGATATATGCATAGAACGCTTTAGGTTTTTGCTGCGCCTCTTCTAGGAGCTTCATTTCATAAGAAGCTCCTACTTCTCGGATGAGTCTTTTGCATATCACCGACCAAATATTGGCATCCAAATGCTGCCTTTGCATTGGACCCCTCCCAGTGCAACATGCACGAACTTATTCATTCTGGTAAATTCTGTGTATTCAGAAGACGAAGTGGCGAGCATACGTAGCTTTCGATAAATTCTAGTCGGCCAGTACAATTATATGGGAACGGGGTAGAAATAAAGACATGTCATTGATAACCCTATTGCCTCTTCTCACGGCAGGGCGTTCAGTTGTACGTTGAAACTTTTTGGCGTTGGGCATGGACTACCGGAATCATTGGGGTGGGCCCGAATATTTCGAATTAAAGAGGGTCTTGTTTAACTTTTCTGTTTATATTAGTGACGGGGATAATGATAAAGGACTAGGTATGGCCTACTTTATCGAACTTGCAAAATGACGCTGTAATTACGAAGGTTTGACTGGATGAAAGTTGGAAGCAAATATGCTTTAAGAAAATTGGTCATGCGAGTGGGGTGAATTATCCCAAAATATCGTTCATACCCTACAAGTGGTATATAGTTTCCACACTGCAGATGCAAAAAACTGGTCCGGATAGAAAAAAGCATGCCGTGAAATGATGAAAGCTTAAAACTTTAATGGGAACTTGTTTAGTAATTAAAAAATGTTGCTGACAAAGAAGGCGAAACTGGACTATCCATTTCTGACATAGCAGCCATCAGCAGTTGGTGACAACCCAACCAAAAGTGTTTCCATTTCCGATGTTTGAATCCGAATTGATTAATTACGAAGCAGTCCACTCGTCACTGCAATGAGGACTTATACAATATCAGTGAAGATCGCGAATACTCAGTCGTACGGGAATGGCGTACACTGATATATGCTGTTTTTAGGACAGTGTACACGCGATTTCGAGCGTCAATGCCAATGCGAGCATCCACGTGAATTGCAGAATCTAAGCTTCAAAACGTAGTTACTCGTGTTTCATCCTGAAATCAGGATGGAACTCGATCAGTCGTTATGCATAAAGGACCTCGAGTAGTCGTCTCTAGACGTATAACAGCGACTAACGACCTCTTAAAACACGCCCAAATATTCCTCAAATATTACGTCTGTGTGAGTCAAAAGGTTTATATGAACGTTTCTCTAGCTCCTTGCCCTTTACTGTTCGCTAGGATAATTGAACATTAAGGTTACTTTTGCGAGTTTTCAAAAGCCACTCCCTGAGTAGTATATAGTTGCCAATTAATACGGAATCGTAAACAGTTTCTCCTATCAGTAGAAATTAAAATTAATAACACCGGGTTTGTAGTAAATTATTCCACTTTGAAATGCAGAAGCTTTCGATGGATGTATGTAAAATACAGCGGATTTTTGACTTATAATTTTCCCACCAACGCATAATTGTCTGTAGGTTCGGTCAAACTGGAAGGACATTTCACCACCGAGTTCGCTGCCGAAGAACCATCTGGAAGCCCCTCTACGAGATGACAAATTTGCCACAGTGGAGAAGGAGCTGGGGCAGATGTATTCAACGCGGCAGAGTCTGCAAGCCCAAATCCAAAGTCTTGACGAGGAGATGGAGCAAAGGCGTGAACTCAGAGATCGGCTGCCGCCGATCCGTACCTCTGGTGCCCTTTCACCCAACCCTGTGAGGCTGCACTCATCTGAAGGAAAATGGACTTGAACTTATGTATTTCTTTGCGGAACCGGTCCGTCCAACTGGCATAAACGTGAACATATGGGTTAGACAAATGAGGCTTAGGACTCTGTTTAATAGTTGGCGCTGAGTACCACACATCACAGCGAGTTTCGCCACATGCAGGATTCGCGCGTCCGATCTGAGACACAGGCCATCTACCAAACTTTGCTTGGCTACTGGAAGTGTAATTCTCCGCAGGACCGGTAGGATTGTGTGTTAATTAAAACATTATAAATGTGGGAACGATACGACGCCATCATGATCAATAATGACCGTAGAGCAACCGCCTACGCTTGGTCAAATTCATCCCGAATTCACTGATGTGTGGATAGTTAAAACATTAATTACCAGATCCATAAGACCAGTGATTTATGAGTGAGCGAAAAGTAGTATTACGATCAGCTCTAAAGCGATTGCAACTGAGGTAGAAAGTCTGGATTGTTAAACCGCCTTATGCGCTATCTGTAAAATTAACATGTTGTCTTTTTAAAGCATATTAATCTGCTGTGGTCTGTTCGTAGCTTGGTCTTTTTTGGCGAACCAAAAGAAGGAAGAAAACCGCTGGTCCAGGAGTCTCGTTTGGTATCTGAGCAATGGAATCAGAACGGTTAAAACATAATTTGAACCCAGAACTATAAGTGCAGTTCAGTGACACAATAGGCTTAATTCGTCATTGACTTATGTAGTTAGTAAAAATAGGCTTTTGAAGAGTTAAATACGCCCTTTTTATATGCCACGGACTTTGCTTTTTAGACTTTTTCATTTCATAGGCCAATTCTCTACTTAAATATTACTGACAGTCGATGTGTATTTATTTAGCGTTAACAGGCTGCTCACTGCTCAGCAGAATCTAGAACCATGGTATTAATAACACCTGCTGGAGCAGAATACAGAAAACAAAATACATTTTACTTTTTGAAGTCATTCGGTAATAAAATGTTGATGTAAATAATTTTCCTGACGTTCAGAGGCTTCATAATTTAATGATGTACCCAACAGTGCCAGGAAGTTGAAATAAACATTCCCTGTTCGGTAAGATGTGGCTTGGCAACTCTACCTGATAGAAACAATACTGGTGAGGTTGGGATTAAGGATTAGGGTTAGGGGTTAGGATTAGGTGTTATGGTTGCTGGTTAGAGTTAGTGGTCCGGGTTAGGGGTTAGGATAAGGGATAGAGCAAATACTTCTCAACCACTAAAAGTGCAACCGCGCATCCCGATAGTTTTTCTTTTGCCTCTACCTTCCCCGGACTATCTGTAAGAACCCCCATTGCCACCTGTCCCGTATTACAGGTGGCTGGGGTTTGTCTACTTCAGATGGGACCTCATAACCATATCTGACCCCCTGTCCTTTCGATAAAAACTGCCAGTACCCAAAAGGAGATGTACTGCAGTTTTGCTGAACCGAATCGAGGGTCAGACTGACTCACGCTTGAATTTATCGGACTGCATTGAGTTCGCGCGGGACCTTAACGACTGCTTTACATGTGTACAACAGGGCCTTGGACGTAGGCATTCACGTCACCTCAGTCAGGACATCCAGACTCATTACCAGTTTGTTGCAAGGTTCGGACAATCGACTAAGGGCCGGATGCTGCAAGAGAGACAGGTCGGGGAATAAATCCTTACGGCAAACCAGCGGACCACCTGCTATGACGGCTTGACCGTTTTTTCCAACTCTGTCCACCATGGTGACTCTGTCCATAGCATGGCGAGCGCAGAGACGGTGGATTGTGTGTGAGTTCGTTTATCCTGATGGGAGCCATGCGCTACATCTACCGTACTCTCCCTTCCCTCGCCCCCTTGGGCCCGGCGTTAAGAGAGAGTTAGGAGGACCTGAGGCGGGCAAAGGTGGCTGACGCGGCACGAATCCGCGCCCAGGCGTGCCACCACGCTCCCCGGTCCGTGCATAAATGGACAGAATTTCACCAAAACGGTAAAGGACGACTGGTAATCCAACTAAGAGGGAGTTCTATAAAGGTCACATTAGGAGGTACTCATTGCATCTCGAGTCTCAACCCTGAGAGGAGAACCGAGTTACCCTGCCAGGCGGCAGCTTTCCCAGCCACGGCTTTTAGCGCACCGTGGTTGATTCAAGCATGTTGGACTGTTTATAGTGAGGAATATGCGCCGAGACCGTCGACCTTACTGTCTTTTCCCTCTTTCAGACATCGGTCCCCTGCCCGTCCTGGTCAGTTGTTGGATGCGGGGATTGGGCGCAGTGGTGATTAATAGGACATGAGGGCCCGAATTCGAGGACAACACATGATTTGGGTGTCCACATGCACACAGCAGGATTTCATACAGAGGATGTGGACAGCTCGGGCCTCATATGTTTTAGAGTGCCATGGATGCTCTATTGAGAAGGAGCCGAAGGTCACTAATTTACGTAAGAGGTGCCGATTCCGTGCCTATGGTGGGTGGTATGGGATGGGCTCATATGTGGTGTGTACGATGGTGGGGTTTAGTCTGCTATTGTTTTCCACGGCATAGCATGGAGGCGCATGTGACCAGGTAGACCCATGTGATGGCTGAATATACGTGTACAGTGCGGGCAGTTAAGGTAATGGTGACGAAGGTGTGTTGGTGCTGCAGTGGTTCACCATTCTATGCGCCATGGATTCACAAGTACCCGACTTGGTTGATTCGTGAGGTGCACAAGCGGTACCAATGTGGGCAGGATAGGTTGAGAACTGCTCAGTGGGTTGCAACTGACGGTCGCGATGGTGGATGGGGAGCTGGTAGTGCTGGGTATGAGAGGGTTTTCGGGTGTGCAATGTATGTTTAGCATGCCAATATTACGGCAAATTCAGCTGTCATGGCTACGCATGTGACCGAATAGGCTCATACGGCGACCAGATGTGTGTAAACAGTACAGACGGCGGAGTCGGGCAAATGCCGAGACTCCTGGCACTGGTTCACCACTCTCGCTTTGATGGATTCGTAAGTGTATGATCAGGCCGATGTTTGATGCAAGGCTGCAATCGCAATGGGGACAAATAAGGATTGAGTCCACATTGCTGATGGCGGAGACAGTGTTGGCGTGAATCGTGTCTGACAGGACGTCAGAAGTTTTCTCGCTGGTGGTGAGATGATCCCTAGTATGCCCAACCTGGTCACGCTATCAGCCGGGGCTTCAAAGGATGTATACTGACGGGATAACTAGATCCTACTTTTGACTGATAGCCAGGCTACGATGGTTTCACTTTAATGCGGCTTTTATACCACTCAAACGTCTATAAGCTCCGGGATCACCTGAATGAAGCCTGGTATGTGGAGCAGGGACACGGCGTGCGTGTAAAGCGTAGGCAGCTGCTTGGAGCGCCGGCTGCTGTACACATGTCCCTCTTTGTTCGTCTTGGTTTTCTCTGACCCTAAAAGGAGGCTGGATGATGTAACAGGGGAGTGAGATAGATTCACCACAAGTCTGCCTTACTATAAACAAATTTACGCGTACGTGTCCATTGCTGAGCAAAACTCTATGGGCGGCAGTAGATGTCGTCAATTGTTTGCGGTGGGACTTGGTTGATGAAGACCGTCTGTGTATATTGTGTAAGTCCACGCGCCCCCCAAGCTTCTTTTCCTTTTTATCCATTTTCTGATTGTCTGCATTGTGGTGTGCGCTCACCGGCGAAGGCCACAGAAAAAGCACGCAGGCAAAACGAGTATATTATTCTCAACGAATAGGTTTATAGCATCTCTTCTTTGCAAGATGAGGCTCTGCTAGCAGGAAAGTGACGAATGCAGAACACTGTAAGCCTTTATTAGGACAATTCGTTACTTTACTGTTGATTATTTAAAACTCTAGACTTCTCTTAGTTAAGAGGACTTGAGCCACGTTCTTAAATATTTTAACCAAAGCGCGAGGTATCGCAAGGTCGATAAGTAAGCAATTTATCTCTTTTTCAGCCAAGACAGGCCATCCTAACGGCATTTTAGTTCTCATTTAGTAATAGGTACAAAATGTACTCATTTTGAATATCCTACATTCGAAGTAACTTGACGATGGTAGTTGTCCTTTTAGAGCCTACGAGAACTAGCCGAAATAAATCAGTCCCTCTCAAAGCAGGTGGCTGAGACAAAGGCCGAGAAATTGTCTCTTCAGAGAGAACTCAAACGGGTCATCAATGCGGTTAATGAAGAAGAGTCAGAAGAAAGGCAGTTTTACAAGAACCGAGTAAAAAGCCTGGAAATGGTAATCACGTAGTTGTTTCGTTTTCTGCATTGCTATATTTGCATTGTCTTGTCTTGCTGTTCTAACACATAATCAAATAATATGAAAAACATAAAGTAGTTAAGAAAATCAAAATTGGCTCCCCCTATCTTACCAATGAAGCAGAAACTTTGGCTTTTTTGTATACCTCGTTCTGGAAAAGCGAATAATATTTTCCATTAAGCCATGTATTCCAAGGTTTACTATGGACGTTAACTGCAGTCAGATACAACCGTTGCAATAGGTGCCGTTCAGACTGCACGAACAAACCTTACCACAGCCGCAGATGTGAATTCTTCTGTCTGCAGCTTGAGCCCTATTTGATTAATTCGGGGAGAAAGGAATGCAGGATGAAATTGGCGAAAACGTCAATTACAAGAAAACATCGTATTGATGTAGGAAACATAAGGAAAGTTAACTAGGTCGACTGAAAGAGAGTACGAATGTTTGTAAAGATCGGTATTTTATCCAGACTTTCGCAAGTCACTTGGTACATTCGACCAATATTACAAACACGCGCCTGATCGGAAATGTTTCTGATTATTTCTAAAGTACGGGAGATTTAATGTCCTTGCACATGGAGGAGGCAACATTTCTACAAGATGCACGTGTATTCACTTCACTTTAAAAATAGTGATCTTAAACTCTCATTCAAGAATGTGTTTTTATCCATAAACTGAACTTTCGACGACTGAGTCTAGTTTCTAAAAATGACGACCACTTAATTATTGCAGGAGGTTAACAGAGCTCTCGACCAAGTCACCTATATGCACGGAGAAATAGCAAAGTCGGAGTCCGAAAAGTCTCAGCTGAAAATGGAGCTATCCAATCTTCAGTTTGAACTCAAGACGATCGCAAGCAAGACTTCGAATGAGAAGGAAATGGAACAGATAACTTGCAAGGTATGTCCATATTGATCAACTGATTGATTGTGACCGTCCAGTTCACATGATGGCGACTAAGGTAAGCGATTAAATGTTGCCAGGGTCAAGTGTCATTGGTCAACAAATGATTGACCATGTAAATTGAAGACACAACAGATGTCAATTAAAAATCGGAAAATTAAGAAATTTCGAGAAGAAGTCGATGCAATCGTTGGAACAAGAATTTTATTTGCATGGTGTTCCAAATTTTCATCCTAAGCTATCATCGGAAAGTAATACAGATAAGGATGTTGGACGCACAAGGTTTATAGAATGGGGGAGGCACGATTTCTAAATGCTTAGTGCGCTAATTTGAAACAGGGAGGAAATTGTCACAGTGTACGAATCGAAGGCGGTCGATAAAATAATAATCGCACCAAATACGACCTTAAGTGACGAACGCGGGGCCACAAATTATGATACGTGTGCATGTGGTGATATAGCAGCTGAACCACTTGTGCGTTGCAGTACCCTTATCTGCGATTGTCTCTGAGCCTGGGTTCGGATGAAAATCCGAAGCGTAAGATAACTGAAATTTTTATTCCAGCGGTCGAATCTCCTTCTTCTCAACTGCTTCCTAGAGTTCGCCTTTCGCCGGTATCGGAAGTAGAACACCACATCTCAGGTGAAAGCGCACGGATTAGAAGACTGTACCCTATCCGAATCTGTAGTCATGAGGATAGGGCTACGACCAAAGTCCATCACAATTTCTTATTTTCTGAAATGTCCTAAGAGCACGCAAGATAGTAGAAGCAACACTTCGTTAGCGGCCATCTTAGATGGTCTAATCCTCTAAGCCAGTATGGTTGAACTCGCGACCTGTTTGTTAGAAGTCCACGCCTCTATTCACTGGGCCACAAGCCCGTCGCCCTGTCGGTTTTCGATCGGGAATCTACAATGGTAGGGGGCGCTCACCGATCGTTCATACGGAACTCACTCGTTCCGTTGTACCTTAAGGGCTCTCTCTCGAGCCTAACCAGCAGCCGCACAGCGGCGCATGATATATAGGCAGAATGGCATTACTGACAAAGACAAGGGAGACTGGAATGGCCATTTCTGGCGTATTAGCCGTCGTCGGCCAGCCATACCCAACCCCGAAGTGTGGCACACCCGAGGCTCGAACTCGCGACCTGTTGGTTTAGAAGTCCACGCTTCTTACCAACCGAACGAGTGAGTTCCTGTAAGAACGATCGGTGAGCGCCCCCTACCATTCAGATAAAATGTGCGTGGCAGTCCAACTTAAAAGGAGCTCTTGTGCATGCACATTTAGGGCAGCAGAATGCCAGTGCGTGGGCCCTAACCTTTCTCTAGTCCTAATGCGGTTGAGGGCATTTAAAATCTCAGCAGCCCTGGCCTGCAGTTTATATGGCTGATGAATAACGGCAAAAGGGAATATTATCTTCTCCCCAAGGCATGTTGGTGGCGGACTTGTCCTTTTGGTTCAAGTTAAATTCTGACTTTATGCAATTTCAGCAACGGGAAGAAGCTATCACTAGAGAACGACAAGACTTTGAGAGACGAATGAGCGAGGCCCAGAAGTGCTTCGAGGAGTTAAAGAATTCTAAAGAGAAGGAGATAGGATCTTTGCAGAAGGAGCTTATGACGGCTCGGGGAGTTATATTTTCGCTGCGAGTGGAGGTTGAGGATTTACGGTAGGTACATTGCTTCCCAGTCAGGATTTAGCCAACACAGATTGTTTTTGTATTTATAGAAACAGGCTGTTTCTGGATATCTGTTTGATTTTCTCACATATCATTTCGTAACCACCTACTCCCTTGACTGGCCTGATCTCGGAAAAAGTCCAGAAACATGCGTGTTGATTTTTTAAGATTTTTTGAGTTTTTAAGTCGTTTAGCAGAAACTCTTTTGAGCAGAAATGTCCGAAGAAGGTGAGGATTACTAAAGAAGGGATGTTGTAATACTATGCGCCTGTGATCCAAAAAATAAACAGTTCTTCAGGTTTCTTGTCTGTCTGCATAATCATGCGTCCATTTGGAATACTACTTTTAGACTTGCTAGTAAAGTGAAAGCGAGGACCGCTGACTTTTCATAACTACCCATTAGTTGCCCGTTGAAAACTTCTAGGCCAAGAACAGTTGCAACCGTCACACCCCCTAAAATATCCCACGAAGAAACAATACTTTTGTCGGGTCGAGTAAGTACACATGACCTTTGAAATAGAATTTAGTATAAGGTATTTCGTGATAAATCCTTGTGTTATCTAGGCTTCGGACCTATGCAAATGTCTAACGATCAATTTTGGAATGTTCCTCGTGCAAAACAGTGTGGGAAATTCTTTCGCAAAAAACTAACTTCCGTGAACGTATGTTCCACTTTCAGACGAAAGGTCACCGACGGGAACATCCGATATCTTAAGCTGACTGAACAGCACTCTTGTTCAGTGGACTCATATGAAAAAAGGCTTAATGATTTAAGGGAAGCAAAGGTATGTTGATAAAGATTACTATTTTCAATCGTTTGGACTTATTTTAAGGAAAGAGTCGTAAGTATACATTTCCCTTCGTTTCCTCTCAAGCGCTTGCTGAGCATGCTATCTCACTAATGATGATTTTCCTACCAAGTGCATTCCCTACAGTACATATTTGCCCTTCGGACTTTCACTAAGTAGTCTTTAGACTTGTCAGATTCCTTTAGTTAGACATGACCATTTTCGACAGCGAGCGAATGAGACAGGGAATAATTCGGATAACAAGAAATTACTGCTGATTTTCTTGTTAAGGATAAGCAGATTATGAAATTGGAGCACGATCTTCGTCATGAAATGGAAAAGAAGTGCAACGAGCAGCGTGCAGAACTTGAACGAAAATTTACAGTGAGAGAGGGGATTCTTACGAAACAGTCTACCGATCTTAATGTCCAACTAGAGGTGAGTGAACTACCACAAAGTTCGAACTCTGTGAATTTTCCTTTTTACTATAGTCCTTCTCTACATGATGTCGTTATTTAGGCAATTTTAAGAAGAACAGGGACTGAAATAGATTTATTACGTACAATGAAAAAGCAGAAGCCAAGCACTCAACTGTTGTGTAGGATGAGCCCGAGTGATCGAACGACGATTTACCGACTTCTGGAGTTCGCTTTGGGAGATCTTATATTTGACAAAAAACAGACAGCGGCAGCAGACATGGAGGCGATGCAGTATTTACAGAATGCAGTTTCTACTCAACCGCGCACCTAAGCAAACTAACCTTTACCACATTCATCGCAGACGTTCACATTGGTTGAGATAACGACTGGGTTCAGTTAAGTTCAGCTTATTTTGAGGGAAACGTAGATGTTGCATTTTCAAACTCCCTGTTTTTCACAAGGAAGCGAATAATATCAAAAATTTGAAGATGGAAACATCAAACAGCTACATAAATTTTTCCGAAACCGAGTAGATAAACGAATTGTACAGAGTGTTAAGAACATTAGCATTACTAAGTGCGCTACACAGTAATCAGTCTATGCATAATTATGATCTAGAGCTCCTATCCGACAGAAATATCCTCCATAATCTCGCTTTTTATTCACTTCTTTTTTAAGGCTTGTGGTAGCCATGGGGGCCTTTGTTCAGTTTCATCCGTGAAATAGGATAGTGATCTCTGAGAAGAATGTGCAATAACTCGCTAAACCAGTCCCAATCCTTGGTTATGTCACCGGAAAAAGCGGATTCCCCGTTTATTAATTCGGCTTTCATATGGGTAAAGTCGTTGCGCTAGATATTCCCTCTAACTCTGAAGGCTTGTTCGGCAGAGAAAAGATGGAGTGCTCCCACAACAGTACGACGTAGTCGCGTCGACCTAAGGGAGATCAACATTGCACCTCGTGAATGCTGTCCAACGACTTGGTTAGGACCAGATCTAGACAGTTTGTTGCCCTTCGCGCACCCTCGTCGGAAACGAGAAGTGCCGAGTGGGAAATAACCTGAGCGTCATGTCCAGCAAACGTTGGTCGAAAGTATCGTCGGGAACGGATGCATAAGCTAAACTCCGGTCGATAAGAGGTGCATTGAAGTCTTCCATGACTAAGACGTCGGACCGAATAGTAAATCTTCCTAGATCCTACGGCAAGCGGGCGTCAGCCGTGGGATCATTTCTCGGCAGTCGGTATACTGTCAGGATGTCGAAGTTTGGTGAACCCGGTGCTTTTAGAGTTAGCCAAATCGCTTTAGAAGTACACGCATCTGTCTTTGATTACCGTGATGTCCTCACTGGTGTTTGTGATGAGCGTCATTAGGACTTGACAACTTCGCCTACCGTATGGTTCATCTGCGCGCCCCTCGCGTAACCAATTACCTCGTTTAGGCAGAGCCTTAACACTGGAAAATAGTTATCGGTGGACTTGGTGATTGTCTGAGGGCTGGAGGACTATAGTTTAAGTAGCTTAGGGTGCATCCGATTGACGTCTTCAGGAAGGATGTTGACCGCGTAGAGTTTAGATGTGGGACCTGATCACGTCAAGCGTGACGGTACTTGTGAGTTGACATCATTCCCCTTCACTGCTGATGCGCTCTTGACCATCACTGTCCAAAGTAATCTTCCTGCCTCCGTGGCGTAGTTGTTTTGTTAACAACTACACCGACTACAGACGTTGTTTGTTGCGGAAGGGGGTCCTTAACCTTCATCTCGTCTGTGCATGCATCAGTTGACGAGGTTGAAAGCACCCGTTGAAAATACCGGAATTTAAATCCTGATTGATTCTCGATACTCCCTGCACACATGCTAGTAGAGAGCCCGACGACCTGTTGCGCCGAGTAAGTTTTGATGCAGTACGCAACTGCAAGGCTTTCGACCCATCAGTAGGTCTTCCAGCGAGATGTGCCAATTTTGACAGGCGTAAGGCAAATCGAGAGTCTGATTTTCTACTCGGACAATAAGCGGATCAGAGAAAAGAGATGCCGGCAAAAATGCGAGCTGCCTGATTGGCGTTTCTGGTTTATTTACCGACGTCATACAGCAATATGCTAGGCCTGACTTCCAGCACATCGAGGTTTGAACCCGTGCCCAGTGTGCCGTTGGGCGCTACAAATACAAAGATTTATTCACACTTTGTCACTTGATCTCGAGAACACACAATGTCACAATAGGAAGACCTGCGCGATCTGTCCTGATTGCGGGACAGGAAATCTTCTTCGCTGATTGATTGTTCGTCGCCTTTCCAAAGCATCGTCTGGGGCCGTCACGGTCTCCATCTCAAAATGAAGCTGGAGATGCGCAAGGTGGCCATCCTGCCGATGCTGCTGTATGGAGAAGACACCTGGACTGTGTACAAGAAGCAGGCGCGGAGACTCAACCATTCCCACCTCAGCTGTCTTCATGGATACTGAAGCTGAGGTGGCAGGACCGGATCGTCGACACTAACGTACTGGAGCGAATGGGAATCCCCAAGATCTATGCCATACTGAGACAACTGCAACTGCGTTGGAGCGACCAACTCGTGCGGACGGACGACGACTATCCAAACGACAAATACATGGAGATGTCGCCACAGGGTACTGCCGTCAAGTAGGCCAAATCCGTCGACATAAAAACACTCTGAAGACCTCCCTGAGGCGTGTGCATATCAACCCGGCCAACTGAAAAGGCCTAGCTCAAGACCGACCGACCGACATGGAAGGCAACAGTGAAGGCAGGCGAAGCGATCTACGAGGCAAACCACATCACCGCCACAAAAGCCAAACGAGAAGCACGCAAATCTCAGCTGGGTCCCTTTCGCAACGCCCAACCACCCCCAACGTGTCCACGGTGTCAGTGGACATTCCGGGCGGCAACTGAATTCGTTGGACATCTTCGAGCCAACTGCAGCACTCGGACTGCACCAGCCGTCGTCCCTCCGTTCGTTTCTTCCTCGCCTCCTACGCTGTTGGCTTTTATTTCCCCAATTTGCTTTCTGAAGGGCTGAATTAACATCCATGTGTTCTTGTGAGTCCTACTGTGTGCTACGTTACTTCGACATAGCACGAATCTGGTTCAAAAGTCTACAAATTACCCGACGAAATACTCGCACATCTTTTCAACAATGCTAATTCGTTATGTGTACTTTCCATGCCTTCGACCCAGCTAAGGAGACCTATGTTGCCTTATCAGTACACTCGAAATTGACAGCCAGCTTTTTGAAAGGGATTTCTAAATTTTAAAAACTCGACACCCCTGGCGACATTCGAGTCCCCGATAGAGAGAATACCTACTTATAGTCGGCCTACTGTTCATCGATTGGATTCCGAGTTGACTGCCTGCGAAAACCTGGTTGGACACTCAGCCTACCGGATAAAGCTAAGAGGATTCATAACTCATAACATGCATGAGGAGTAATTATAACTAAATTATAAAAACCTGAAGGATATCGGTCGAGATTTCGTAGCCTAATTGTCAGGGCATTTGTCTGTATTGGAACCTTGCTGTTCCTGTCTTGAGTTCGAATCCCTCTGAGGCCGCCGAGGTTTCAATAAATGAGAGGTCGGCTTACATTCCGCCAAATCCGCCAAAACCCCCTACCTCTTTGGTATAATATCATCTGCTTTTCTTGACTGTCCAACTGGGGCTCTGACAAGTCCACTCATATAAAATCATTCTTCCGCTTTATGTTGACAGGAATGCAGACTGAAGCTGGAACAGCAGTCCAGGTTGCAGCCCACGCCGATCACGTCGGCACGACAGGTGCAAACAGAAACCACTGTGCGTGAAGAGCCCGTACGATGGGATGCAGCGGCGAGGTGGGGACCTACAGCCAGTCCCAGCACCGACGGCGCTTCCAGCATGATCGGTGGATCTGAGCTCTGGAGGGAGGAGCTTAAGCTACTGCGGGATGCCACCCAGGCCTCACTTCAGTTGGCCCAGCAGGAGCTTATGAGAGAACGTGAGAAAAGTGTTGCTCAGGCTGCCACCATACGTTGTCTGGAAGATGTAAATCACAGCACTTTAATTTTCACTGTATACATCATCCTCTTCTACGTGCATGCTGTTCTCTAAAGTGTACTTAAGGCAACAGAAGTTGCAGCAAAATATGCTCTGCCCTACACGGTTCTGGATGACCGCCAGTCAGTTATTAGGCTCACGTCCAGATACGTCTTTATTTGGTTTTCAGATGATGCATTGAGAAACTATGTCGATTCAGGTCCTCACTAGGTCTTCCACATTTCGCATTGACAAATCCGAGAACTTGAAACAAGACATCTCGTTCGCTGTCTGGCAAATTTGTGCTTACTTTATAGAAGTTGGCAAGTGCCAAGGTAGAGCAACCGTTTCATGGTCGCGGTAAAAAGTTCAACGCAGATGTTCAAGGAAGTAATTTCCTCGTAAACAATTTTGAAAAAACATATGCCTTGTTGACAGGAGCTCACTGTATGAGCACGGAACTAACAAACAATCATAACAAGTAGGGCACTGGTAGGAAGGCGCTCACCGATCGCGCTACGGAGCTCACTCGTCGCGTTTTGTATTAGGCCTTTCTCTCGAGCCCTGCCAGCAACCGTACAGCGATGCATGATACAGGCTGAGTAGCATTGCCAACAAAGACAAGGAAAACTGGAATGTCCACTTCTAGATTATTGGCATTTGTCAACCAGTCACACCCACCCCCGAGGTGAGGAACACCTAAAGCTCAATCACGGGACCTGTTGGTTAGAAGTCCAACGCCCTTAGCGACTGGGCTCGTTGTCCTGTCGGTTGTGATCGGCATATACAGTACTCGGAGCACGCCCACCCGATATATATCCGATCGCATCCGACAGGACAGCGAAACCGTGGCTCAGTGGCTAGGTGCGTTGTACTTCTGACCGACAGATCGCGGGATCAAGCTCCAGATGTTCCACACCTCGGGGAGGAATATGACTGACTAACAACGGCTTATAGGCCAGAAACAGCCATTTAGTCTTCATTGTCTTTGTCGGTAATTCCATTCTACTGTATTGCACTTCTGTAATCTTTGAACAAGTTCCAAAATCCCCCCCTTGCGTGGAGTGGACTTCAAACAGCCGATTAGAGTCAAAAAATTGTTCCTCGCTTCTTAGCCGGTTTAGATCAGAGTAGGTCTGACAGAAACGTAATTTACCTTCATTCTCATCGATGTTTCGTGTTCTTTTGCCTCATGGAACATGATTTGTAGTGGTGCTTCGAATAGACCAAACAACGGGAGCAGGTGAGGAAAAACTAGGCAAATCATTTTGGGGCGTCCCGGAGACGCTCAAATGCATTTTTATTCTAAAATGTATGTTAAGCTCTGATTCTATTAGTTTATCCTTGTAAAGAGGACGGCAAAAAGAAACCCGGGTACTGGTTTCTGATAAGAATCCGAAGCAGCAGTCCAAAACGTCTTTTTACTGAAAAAAAACTGTAGGGGATCATCTCAGGACTCCTCTACAGAGATCTTAGTTCCGAAATGTGACTTATTATTTCTTGCTAAGGTAAAACTGTTACTCATTTGTTAGTCGACGTTTGCTCTGAGATGAGAGCTAGGAAAGAGATTGATGCATACCTCCTATCCTTTGGTAAAAAATATGTTTTTACTCTTTAAAATAAATGGTAATTCTCTTTATGATGCTTTTAACAGACGTGCCTAACGATAGCTCTTTCCGTCAAAATCCTAGATGGAGATTGGGTTTCCTTAATTTGCACCGCACGCCTATCCCAACTGTCTTACGCATTTTTGCCAGCACCTTTTCCCACCGGCTTCATACGCGTGTACGTGAAATTGCAGAAGATGAAAAATCTAATCGCGGAACGAGCAGGGGAAACCCAGGCCCTGATGTTGGCTCTCGAAGACAAAGTCAAGGAGGAATGTTCCAAAGCCGAACAGCAATTTCAAGTGGTAATGTTTGTAAACTGCCAAGAACATATGGTTTTTTGTGCTTCTCTGATGTACTAAAATATGGGAAGTTACAATATCTACGGGAAGATGCATTTTAAAACTGTTCGCTATCAAAGTCCGACTTTAACCGCTACTTCGGCCTGCTTGCAAACAAGCATCTGAAGGGCTGATGTTGATCTAGCTTGTCCCCTAGGGACATTTAGAAAGTTCTGCTATGACCTGTCCTTCGCGTCATTATGATTGACGGCGACAGTTATTCTCACTTCTAACCACCCACCGTTTTCCTCTAATCCGATATGATGACGCGCTGGCCGATGAATGTGGTTGGTAGGTGCTGGCAAAGGAAAAGGCAGAAGCACGGAGGCAGGCCACAGAGGCAGTCAAACGCACCCTCGGACCACAACTCCTCCAGTACAAGCAGTCGGCTTCACAGGCACAGAAGACCACCAGGGAACTCAGGCGACGGTTGGAGGGTTTCTATGACTCCGTTCTCAAGCTCACTAACAAGGAATGCCGTAAGCTTTCCAGCATCCTACAACTTGGCCCTGAACGGCTCAGCCTGCTGGACACCGAGTTAGCAGGCATTGACACGCCCGGAGAACTTGCACTAACACGAAGGTAGGGTTCATGCTTACTTTTGACTACAAGCAACCAGGTGCACAGCGTAGTCCCAGCGACTGCTTCTACCTTGGCGTAATTTGATAGAACTTGCTGTGAAGTAGACTGTCGGTTTTTTTGATAAAGGACTATTACGAGAGTACCATTATCACAGAAGAGCATTTTGCTGTCGGACTTATTATCTTAATTACAACAATTAATGAGGGGGCTATACTGTTACTGACGTATTGTTTCCTAAGGACACGAAGGGAGGTCCACTGTGTTGATTTTTTGTCAGTATGGGGTGCTGGAAATATGGATTGTGAGGAAGATAAATGTAACCTTCTTTAAGCCATGCGTTATGACACCGAACGAATTAATATCTTTGGCTACGGCCCAAGCAGCATAAAGTAGTAGTGTCAGAAGACATTGGCTGTGAAAATAAACTGAATTCGTTGAGTTATTCCACGCATTCCAGTTGGAGTAGTGACAAGCACCCTAATATCAATGAGCTAATGGGTAAAATAGCTCTGTTGGTTAGAACGTTGGTTGTATGCAAGCCTTGTCCTTGTTGTCGGGGGGTGGAATCCCACCGGGGCCGCAGAGTTTTTCAAAACCGATTCAAAATGAGAAGACTACTAATCACAGGATCGAAAGGAAAGTCTTCTTCTCCACGACTGGAGGTTCTGTTTATTAAATAGTTCACTTCATAAAACGGCCAGTTCCTATAATTCGGAGCTATATATTAAATAGATGTTTGTCGAGGTTATGGCAGAATTGTCCAGCTGCTCACATACGATAGAACTTTAAATGAGTGACATGAAGTGAACTACATGAATAGACCATCGAATGACTGACGGACCAGTTCGACCATAAAAAATATGAAAGAACAACTTTCGTCTATGCCATGCTGTTGTTTGATATGCGCAGTTATCCCTTGTTTAGCATGGAGGACGACGTAAACGAGTCATGGGAGAAGTCGATCGCCACTTCAATGGCCACACAGTCAGCCTACATAAGCGAGTTGGGTGCGCTCGTCAAACAATTGCGCAGACATCTGAAGCAGTCGAAATCCTCAATGCCAATCCCAAAATAGGCACATTTGGTAATCGGACTGCTGAATACTCTACTTACCCAAGGTAATGTCCAAGTGAAATTTCTTCGTTAACGCCAGTACTTCATTTTCCAAAGTAGGTCTAATTCTACTCTGTGACAGACATATCAGACATAGATAAAAAAACAGCAGTCCAGATCCCATCACCACATCTCGTCTTATCTGTTCACGTTGCTCAATAGTCCAAATATGAGCCTACCCCACAACACCCCATATGCAAAACCCGTGTAACACCATGGCTTTCTCCTGCAGCAATCATGCGATTCACTTGACCAGGGCGGGCAAAACATCACGTGCGGAAATATACCTACCAAACATGATGTATGCGTATGTTCGACTCCCGGATGTTTGTATGAGCAAAGAAGAAGAAGAATGGTCAGGCACCGGAACAATTTGTGCATTGTTCCGAGTTTACGAACTCGTGCAGGAGTCCTCCGCCAGAGAGTGGCAGCAACAGAACTAGCCGAAGTTACGAGGCGTGCGAGCCAGTAAACGACCAGCGATACAGGTCTAGAAGTGGCCGCGCAGGGCAGTATCTGCCGGCGCCAAATCGATATATCGATTGACTGAGTTCCCACCCGAAGCCCAGGCTTAAATTGACTCTTGACTTGTCTCACTTCCAACGTGGGTAGTTACTCCGATGGCTGCGAATTCGAACTCAAGTCCCGCTTCGCAGTTGTCGGCAGCCACTTGCGGAAATTCGTCTCTTTGTCAGCTTATGTTCACGTATGCGAGATCTATGCATGCGTTCAGTCTGACTTGGTGTAGTTACAAGGACAGGTTAGGCACAGTATGCGATACGTTACCCCAGACTGCTCCTTGAGATCTAGTCGGTCCTTGATTTTTATGAGCCTACTGCGCATGGCAGCTTTTGGCCGGTGTGCCATCCCAACTCTTAGTTTCTCAGCACAGCGGTCGTTCGTTTCTGAGACGTCTTTAATGTATGACAGCACGTGCCATATCCTATATGGTGTTTCTGTTTTGGTATCTAGGGGGGGGGAGCGAGCGCGTAGACATAGTTTAAAAAACGCCTTCAGATCGCCATTCCGCACAAACTGGCCGCGAAGATACCGGACCTCGCGTACGTCCTCCTCGGTTTGCTGCAGTCTGAACCCCTTCACAGAGCCGTCCTCACAGAAGCTTTCTGCATGCAGTGAGGACCAGGTTGTTTGTGTACGCGTGGCCGGGCTGTCAGCCACTGCGCCCGTGCCCACCTCCGATCATTAAGACATGGTAAGCAGAGGAAGAGAGTGTGTGATACACGCTGCGCATGTCCGCCTCACTACACACTACTTTGCCCGCAAGTCACTGGTGCTGCGCCCACTCAACGGGGCATGCAGTGGACGTCGTCGCCTACGACGGTCCAATTGTCGTATGTAAGGCAGCCCTTCTCATACAAATGTCTCCGCGTAATGGCTGTTGACGGGCATTAAAACTTAATTCGGCCAAGTGTAATTGCAAAAATAAGAATAATTTGGTTCACAGAGTAAAAACAGACACCGTGAAAAGATTAAAGGTTATGACCTAGTTTCAACGATGCTCTTTTTGCTCGACCAACTTTAAAGCATCGGTCTTTTTCTTTTAGATTTATACACCGAAGCTACTGGAGCTGACAGTTATTTCATCAGGTATCGCTCCGAAATGACTGAATTTTGAAATAATCAGTTTCTACCAGATAAACAGAGGATCATCCTGGTCACCCTATGCTTGATATCTGGTATTTTGTGTTTCAGTGACCACATACTTTGTGTCATTAGCAGCCTTCTTTGAAAGTAAATTCAGTTTAGCGGTACCTACCACCCATAGCGAATATAAAATAATAGATCCTACCAAAGCTTCTAAATTGTGTCATTTATTTCAAGTACCTCTGACTAATAAGCGAATATAACAACGAAAAATGAATTCTGCTGAATGCCTCGGGAGGAAAGCATGGATGCTTTATCTTCTGGACTGGAAATTTTTCATAGCCAGTGAAAAGCCTATGGGTATTTGGGAACTCCAGGCTCCTGAACAGTTTCATGCTATGCAGTTTGACAAGCGTCCACGCTGCGTAAATCAATACCACGTGAATGGACGGTCGAATGAAATTCACGACTCGGGCCATTAGAAGTCTCATTTTATTTCAATAACTGCGTTCTACCTCAGAAACAAAACCATTATGAAACCTGGGAAATTCCGATGCATGAAGAATGAGCTTGCTTTGTGGTAATGATTACGGCGCTATCTCAACAGTTCACGCGTCTCCTAAGACGGACCTCCTCAAGCCTCCAGGAGAATCTACAGCGTTTCCGTTCAGATCTATTTTCCGAACTTGATTGGGACCTTAAAACGGACATTAATAAGGGACAGGCGAACAATTTTGCTTCCAGGGATACACTTAATGATGATTACGACAGCAGGGATGACGGCGATTCTGAAGGTGAGGAAGATGAAGACAGCGAGGGGGAGGAGGTTGAGCAGCCTAAGACCTCCAACTGTTGTCTTTTCTGTTCCTTCTTTGAATGCATTGCCTTCCACCGGATGCCAGTTGAACCGTTTGATGCAGTTTACTATCGCCTACAGGGCTGCATTGAACAGTGTCCCACCGGGTGTCCAACTTGCATTCCAAGGCGGAATGAGGAAGAGTGGCGCTTTCCCCAACTCTTTGGGCAGAGATATGCCATGTGTTACTGTTGCACCCGGCCTGGTGGTATCATACTCACTAAGTACCTCGACTGCATCCTTTGCCCCTTATGTGTTGTCTGGGACACAGTAAAGGGTGCTGATTATGGATACCGCAGATTTCGAGTGCAGGCCAGAATCCACAGGCACTATGAGAGTGAATCCGTTCCAAATACATGGTGGGTATGAGGTAGCGAATATTGATTGAGCGATGGAGAAGGTCTTAACTAGAATGCTACTTTGGTTAATAACATTTTGTCAAAGAGTTCATTTTCGTTCCCTACATTTAAGTCTCTCTTGTTTGAAGGTCTGCTATAGAGAATTGATCGACAGTATTTGCAGGGGCTGCTTTTTAGCAGTGACTCAATCACATGAAGCCGCAGAGTTGTATTCGCTGAAATTCGAACACGTAGCATATATTGCATATCTTATTTAGTGCTTACGTTAAAACCTGACGTCGGAGGGAGAGCAGGTATGAATCAAGGGGCGGCTACCTTTTCACATTCACAGTCCCGGGTGTTCAACGAGAAAATGATTAGTACCTGGATAAGATGAATAACATTATTCGTACAGAGCGCGAAAAGGCATGGTTCCAATGCGAGAACAAGCTATTTAAGCTGTTCCACCACTACCTCCTTACTTGGCTAAATGACTTCTTAAGGAACGGGGTAACAATCAGGAATGGGCGCACACCGATCTATTGGCTTCACAAAGCAAACAGGCTCCGTATGTGTGGCAAAGGTCACGAACAGGCAACTTCGGTTCGATGAAGTGCTTATGACCCATCTGGTAGGCCTCAGTGGTGGACCGACTGCGCCAGGTGCGTCTGTGCGCATGTTTGTGTTTCTGGTCGCAGCTGCTGGTGGTCAGGGTTATGATTGGCTGAATGAAGGCAGAATAAGCCCGAAACAGTGCTGTATCAATCTACCCGCATTCTCTGTCGTCCCTCCTCGCTGCGAACGGGGTAACGTTTGACGAAAAAGAAAGACATTGACTAACACGCGCTGTTCGACCTTCACGAGTGATGACGTACTCCGTGAGCTCCACAAAGTTGGCGCGACGCCAGCAAATTCTATATGAATTATTTTTTGGTAGGAGCAGGTTTGCACAGCACCTATCGCACACTTCCCTCCCTCATCCAGCTGGAGCCGGCGGCAAGAAGGAATTAAGCCAACCAGAGGCGGACATAGGCATAGTGGCTAACAGGCTGAACAGCCCGTCTGTGCTGCCACATATGACGTGGTCTACTCACAACAGGTCAGATATTGACAACCGACAGTTCGACCGTCGGCTTCGACGATGTCCACCTTGTGCTCTACAGCAGGGAGAGAGCAGGGACGGTGACTTGTGCGAAAATTTAGTTTTTTTTTTAGTGATAGTAGACTTGTACAATATCTACTGCACTATCTCCTCCTCCCTCCCCCCTGGAACCGGTGTCAAGACAGAGTCAAGATGACTGGGAGCGGGGGAGGGCGCAGGTGGATGGCACGGTCGAGCCCGCATCTTGGCGTTTCACTCCATGTCCCCCGGTCCACACAACAAATAACCAGGTTTTTGGCTCACAAAAACAATGGGGGGATGCAGGGTTCCAGTGTGCACGACATACGCCGGCAACCGGTTCCGCCACCCCGCCTCGAAATGTTGGCATTTGTTATGATGCGCAAATCCGATAACGCATGCCAAAGTCCAATATGGCCCCTGTGTTGGTCCAGCGCAGCTACCACGTGGACCGTTTGGGGAGCACTTGCTAGCAAAGACATCGACAACCACTGTCAGCATCACTGCCATGCTATGGCATTTCCAAGTCAGATGGAGACACAGCGTCGGGGAGGCGACCGACAAAGTGGGTTTTCGATGATGAAACTAGCAGACGGTATAGATAAGAATAACGGCGAAAGGACACATTGTAGACTTCATCTAACTGTCTGGGAATGAACCGAACGTCATAGTCAAATTTCTTCGCAGAATATGCACACAAGACATTTTATTGTAAAAAGTGGAGCGGCCGTCATCGAAGCCGACCCAGCACAACGGAAGGCCGTCGGCGCTGAAGCGACCCCCTACCCACCCCCACTGCAACCCTAAGTTTCGGTTCTGTTCATTTCTTTCGGTCGTCATAACTACCTCGGCGGGAAAGTCGCCAGGATACAATGGGAAACCGCAATCACTGCCGGCACAATGTCGCTTTGTCACACTGCGACCGTAAACTCCCGTTGCGCACTAACGTAGTAGAAAGCCAGGAATCCCCAACAGTACAAGTGGAGGGTCACTGCCATGATCCCCAATCACAATTCTTAGCTAAACGCACGGTTTGCGTTCATTATTGGCGTCACAAAAGCCCATGCCATCATGTGCATGGACACGAAAGTAAATGTTAATGGACTTTTCACACACCAATCATACAAAGGAGTCTGCCAACATGAGTAACGGCTGAATAGGAAACGTGCCGGTGTGTGATGAGACAATTAGACAAACCACTACATCGTTTACGAGAAAAAATAGGGTGGAACACCAACCTCGTGAACTTCAGCAATGTACGCAAAAATCAGTTAAATTACATACTATTCTCCTAGATGCACTGGAATGCGCATGGACCATAGTCATAACGTTAGGTTCAAACTGGGACAATTGCATATGCCGAAAGAAAACCATGTCGTGGATACAATCAAAGCAATTCAACAATTGTCCAACGGACAAACATTAAGGGCCGACTCAACTACATCCCAAATTCGCAAAGATGGCGACCCTCAACTCCCGATATATTTCCTCCACTAGCCCAAGAGATATGACAACAAGAAAACCCCACACGACTCCAAACAAACGACCACCCTCAACTTTTAGCAACGCAGAGGAAACCGCAAAGCCTACGACGACCGCAGAGGGAACTCTCCTTTCGGCACTGCTGGCCAGATATTTGCTCATCGCCTGAACGAGCGTCTGCAGCAGGAACTCCTTCCAGGGGCACAATGAGGATTCCGGAAACGACGTCGAACTGTAGACGTGATTTTTTCTGCCTTCCAACTGTAGGAAAAGTACCTAGAAACACGAATCAGTCTCTACACCAACTCCGAAAACCTGACAAGAGCCTTCGTTACAGCTATTCACGGTTGACTGTGGGATAAAGGGCTAAGGGTCGGAAGTACGGGGCAATTTACGCAGATGACATGACATCTGCCTGATGGGATGGTGGTGCGCGTCAAGGACAACTCGTCAGTTCCAAAGGATTTCACAGCAAAAAATGGGACAAGACAAGACTGTGTATCCACTCACGCCCTCTTCAGCCTCATGCTCTCCATCCTGTTGGTGAATGCCCACAGTGGGCGACTGCCTTGAATCAGCGTCGATTGCCAACTCGACGGTCAACTTATCAGCGTTCAACGTATGCAGGCATTTCCAAGAGTCCCCAAGGCCCATATCTACGGTCCGTTATTTGCGAATGACTGTGCGCCAAATACAATCACAAGAGCAGACGTGCAACGGAATGTGGACTGCCAAAACTGACAACCGGCATGGACATGACAGTAGTACTGCATCAACTGGCGTCAAATGATGGTTAAATTATTCCATGGTAGGTGTTAACGGGACGCAAATCACAGTGAACAAACCCGCGCACCTGGCGCCCATTATTTCATGAAAAGCCAACATAAACAACGACATTGTATGCCAGATCTCCAAAATCAGCCAACTATGCGGCAGGCTGCAATGTTTCGTCTAGAATCACCACAACATTCCCCTCAACAAGAGACTGAGAAGGTACAAGGTTGCTGACCTGAATACGCCCTTGTGCGGGGTGGATACATTGAGTGTGTGCAAAAGCAAAGCAAGAAACCCAGACTATCTGTGCCTCGATTGCCTCCAAAGAACGCTGAAGGCGAAGGTGAGGAGAGGGTTTCGGACCTGCGAGGAGCCGGCTTTTTAAGTACCTACGTCATGTTGGGGCAGAGAGGTCGTCAAGTGCGATGTACTGCCGCCAAGACTGAGGCAGTTCTTTTTTAAGTTAATCAACTGGCCGCTGTGGAGATAAAAATAGAGACTTGTAAGACTTAATTGCCGTGGACCAACAAATCAACCAGTTGTTTCCGTCATGCCCTCATCGTCAACTGACATTCAGGACGCATATTGGCTTCGTCAGATATCTCTGGACGCAGCGCGATGTCAAAGCAACCAACCACTCTCTTCGCAAATCACCATTATCAGAATTACCAGTGTGGACACCTCTCATTGCACGCCGACGACATGTCAGTGCTCTGCGCTCCAGCATACACCCGTAACGTACGCACTATGTGCTCGCACGCCCAGCTGCTGCATGAACCTATTCGGCCGCACGCGCATGCGATAAAATCTCCTGTGAGAGAGCGTAGTTCAGATCTCCTCACAAACCCTGTCCTTACATGCGCAAAAAACGTCCCTACGTTAAATATGATACCACTCTGTCACACTTGTATGCGGTACAACCATCAAGAGTATATCGCACACAACCCGCGAGGTAGACACTAGATGCCATTTTTCAATGTCTGTATGAAGCCTCTTATGTGAGGCTATACACATCTCAATTGCACGAGAGATGTACCATTTTGAGCAGTCTGGTATATGTGTAGTAGAGCCCAGGTTCTCTGTGGCGCATGTAGAAGGACTGCACCCGATTTCATTCCCAGTCGACCCGACACGAACAGCCCGCTGATGCAAAGAAAAGAAAGAGCAGGTTAAGGCCGATAGTGGAGACTTTACCCTCACAGCAAACCATTATGCGCTCCTTATTTTACTCAATCTGACGCATCCGCACCTATCAAGACGCATTATTAGTTGTGGCGCGTAAGGTCGCCAACTGATGGAGCATCTCATTCGTGCAGGGAACCTATGGTCAGGTTGCAATAGCTTTTCCTAAATGAGAGTTTTAGACAATCTCACGTCGATGAGTTCGAGGACCCTTTGAATGGAGCCGGGTGCATATAAAGCAGGCGGCTATGTCATGTTTGATACACGAAGACGGCTATTCGGCGTGTCAAAACTGTGTTCCTGCCTATCTTTGGTCGTCTTGGTTGTCTTGTCGTAAGATGCCCGGTTTTTTAATGAGAAAGAGTGGGGTAGATTCCTCGCAAGTGTGTCTCACTACAAACAAATTAACCCGCAAGTCACCGCTGTTGAACACACTTCGTGGGATAGCGGTGGACGCCCTCTGCGACGTTCGA